TCTGTATTTCAGGGTGGCTCTGCAGTTGGTTCAATAAATGATAAATTTTTGTTTAACATCACTGTAGCTGACTTTAAGACTCATGGGTTCGCTGGTGTAGGAACATCATCATGGGGGATAGCAGATTTTGACAACTTTGTTCTTCGAGACGCTAAAGAAGGCGAGAAAATTCTGAATAAAATTAAAAGAGACTAAAATTGATAGAAATTAGCAAGTTTTTCTTGACCAATTCATCGAAGGATAATGACATTGTGATACTTGGACTAATCTTGAAAATATTTTAAAACATTTTTGGGGCATTTTTACATTATGATAAATTGAACTTTTACATACTGTGATATAAGTTCTATAACTTGGACATGTTTGATTATTGATAAAAATTCTAGCTATATTTTTTAGGATCAACTTTGAATGTTGCATGTTAATTTAGAATTTGAAAGAAAAATGTTTGTACATAATTTATTATAATCATTGTTATTGTATTAGTTTTAAGCAAGAAAACATCTTTACTTTTTTATCAAATAATGTTTAGGGGGTTCTATGCTTTACAGGTGTTCTATGCAAAATATTATGAAAATTGTGTATGTAGATCTATGCTTTTGTTTTGTCACATGTTTTTGATAAACTTACCAGAGTAATGGTTTAATGTAAGCTAGACAATAAGATGTCCTTGTTTATTATACATATTTTGTTAATTTTAATTAAGCAACTTTTAAGTTGATGTTTTTTTAATTAGAAAAATTCCATTTTGTCATTAGTTGTTTGGATATAGTTTTGTGACAAGTTTATGATTATTTTGTTTAAGAAAGCACTAAATGTGTATTATTTTTTTACAATTGTTACAATATAGTTGTATTTTTTACATATACATTCCACCATTGAGATTAGTGTATCCAAAGAAATTATGTATATTTATGTTGTTTAAATCATTCTGTTGTTGTATTATTTTGTAATTTGTTACACAAAACCTACCTTAATTAAAAGGTATTTTCTGCCTTTTAGAACAGTTTTGTATTCCAGACCAGTTTGGAGAATAGGAAGAGTTCTTTTTGGACCATTATACAGTCTAACTTGCCCATGCGACCACGTGTATTAAGCGACTTTTGTCTTATACGACCACTTCAAATTCCCCCCGATCATTTTCTCTCTATATTTTTAATGTATAAAGCGACTTTTGCTAAACGCGACCAGCGACTGCTAATTAGTCACCTAATTGAGAGCAATCTTTTCATTAAACGACCACTTTTACCTTTCAGGTAATTGTGTTTTTAGATAACGTCGCATCGTAATTTCACAAGTGTCAACAATCAAAACACAACAAATAAATGTGTGAAAAACTCTATTTCCCATACCGTTTTAGCGTAAGCAGTATACGCGTGACGTGTATTATCCAATAATATCGATTTAACAATGCTACGCTCCGCCCCTACTGATGTGGTGTATACGCTTCGCTTGTTGACAATTAGACTGCATTGAATTGACCTTGAACTTGATCAGCAATTAAATAAGATGTATTTTGCTTATTTCGAATGAAAAATGCACGACAGAAAAAAACATCCTCACTAATAGGGTTTTCGTGATGGAGACAAGGAAAAGCAACGGAGAAGTTAAAAAAATCTGGAAAAAATGTCAAACATGTATGTAATGGATCAAAACTGTTTTGTAAATAAATAACAGAAAGTTAATTTTTACAGATTATCGAGCGTACTAATTATTCAACATTTATATAAAAATGAAGTTGTTAAACATTCCCACTGCATAAGAAAGATGTCATTTGTAAATTTTGACTTTTATGTCATGCTTTGTCTTAAGAGACCGTTTCATTAAGCGACCATTTTGGATGTTTCCCTTGCGCGGTCGCTTAATACAAGTTTGACTGTATTATGATATTCAAACCTTTAAAGCGGCCTTCAGCTTTTATTTTGGTAAACAAATCAGTGTTGTTTCAAACTAAGTATTCAATAATTTTATCTTATAAAAGTACATCATATCTTTGTTAAGCCTTCTTCAAAACAGTGTCCCGAGACCTATTTATTACCATAAGTGATGTTCGTTTCTGAAAACAGAAGATCAAGAAACAAATCATCGGGTTTACTAATTTACATATAGAGAGTAAACCAGTAGATTAGAGGTATCGAGGGGTTTCCTTATTGTTTATGTATTTTCTTGGTGGCAACTTTCATTTTCCACCTTAAATCTATTGATTTGACAATTATTTGAAACAATTTATCTAAAAATAACATATTTGACCTTGAGAAAAGATGAAGACAGCTTAAATGTCTCACTGTTTATATATTTATATATTATTTAAATATGATGAATCTCAAGTTTGTAGTCATAATTGATCTTTTTCTTTGAAATGTACCTTGGAATTAGTACCTGTTTTATTTGTTTACAATATATAGCATTAACAAATGCATAATTGTGTTAATAGCTTATAGCTAGTTTTTTTTACCATTATTGGAGAAGGTATTACGTTAGTAACATATGGCTTGAAGGGAAAATTAATAGGATCTGATAACAGTTTTTTTTGTGCACCTTTTCTTATAGTTTAATTAGGAGCTTGTAATGAAATGGATTGTGAATGTTTAGTTTGTGTTCTTTTATTTTTAAGCATTTACTATGTAAATTGGTCAAGACGGCACAGCACCCGGACCTATTGAAGTTGGTGAATGCTTGGCCAATTTAATTTGTTGAATGTTTACTGATGAAAACTTTCATTTTAGTGTTCACAAATATTTTTCTTAGTAAAAAATATACTAGACTGATAGTGAGGGAATTTACAAAATAAAAATGTGGTATGATTCATCTGAAATACTGCAATCCTATTGGACAAAAGATAATTTCAAAACACTAACTTTAATTAAGATGATATTTGTACCAAATAATTCTTTTCCTAACAAAAGTATAGCACTGTTAATGGTTTATTATGCATGTATAAAACAAATCAACATTTTGTTGTTTCCTGAAAAGAAAGGTAATTGAATAGTCAACAACATGCTTATGAATTGAAATAATCATCACCATTGTTATTGTCATGACAAGAGGTACAGAACAATAGATGTGACACAATACTTATTATAAATATATCCTGATAATTGTACATTACAAAAAATGCTTATTATAAATATATCCTGATAATTGTACATTACAAAAAATGCTTATTTCAAAAACTTAATAATAATACTCGACCATGGTCATTATAGGAAATATTACAAAATGATATTTGTGTTTACAAGTAGAGCTAGTATTACTGGTGTAATGGCACTGATATTAGCCGTGCAATAGCTTTGTTTTAGCCACTCATTTTGCTTTTAAGATCCACTCTACTTCATCTTTTTACTCCATTTTTTTTCACACAGGAGACATAATTAAAGGAAGAAGGTAATTTTCAAAATTAAAGTTCTAAAGTAAAATAATATAAGGATCTTTCCCGGCTACCGGTAGACTGGAATATCTAGCGTAAGGGTAATTGTTTACGGTGGTAACAAGGCTCTGCCGAGTTTCTGCTAAACAGTTTCCGGAAAGCTAGATTTTCCTGTCTGTGACAACAGCTGGTGTTTGAGTCTTTTTCTTGTATATTACATATTAATTGTATTTCCAAAAGAAAATTATGAAAACTAATATTTTCCTGTTGCACTTTTTTCTTATAGTAGCATATGAATTTACAACTTCATTCATAATGGAAAAATGATGTCATCCTATAAACGCAATTCATTCATAAAAGGCGCCCATGAATGAAGTCATTTTAAGCACATACAGGGGTGTAAGACAGATTTTTCTAGCACCAGTAAAAATGGTAGATTATCCTTTCTGATATGCAAGAATACAGGGTTTCTTATATTTTTTTATGTTTGTAAAAAAAACGTTTTTGTCTTGTTGTCAATATTTTTTTTATAATGTTTAGAGATAGTAATACATTTTTTATAATGAAAATATGTAAAAAACTTGGGTTGTATTATATTTAAAAGTTTTAAAGGGTAAAAATAGAAATCCATGTAGATTTGTTTATTACAATGGGATTTATATTTTTGTATATTAAATGCTCAAGACTTTTGAGAGAAATAAACATACTCATATAACAGAAGCACGACTTTCATTGTTATTTAAATACATAGGTGTTGATTTCATGTACGTACAACAAAAAGAAATTGTTATAGAGAACATTCCAGGTAAATTATACAAAATGGCAGATAAATATGAAGCAGTAGTACTTAAATTGCTACTCAACTTACATTATAATTATTATATACATTTTTTTTTTTATCCGAAGTTAATAGATTAAAATAGCAGCTCAATTCTGGTAAATCAATGCAAATTTCTGGTATGTTTTTATATGCTGTCCTATAGAAAAATAATTGATTGCTTGCAGTTTCAGGCATGCTTTACACAAAAAGAAAAAAATTATTTTACATATTTTTTGTTGGATTTTAAGTCACACTGACTGATTCAAGTTTGAATAGCAACTTTCCAGTTTTGCTAGTGGAGGAAGATCTCCGGTGCCTCTTCATGCACTAACTTTCTGTAAGCTATCTGGGATTATCTTAAATATTTTGAATTATATCAAAAAAAATTTTCAGTGTGTGCCATAAGTATATAAAACTAGACAGGTAAATGAAAATTGCCAAGCAATATTATGAAAAGGCCTATTAAAAGAGTTAACAAGTTACACATGAGACTAAAGTGTCATGTATTTTACACACAGGTTACCAACGGTTACCATTAGGTAATCTCTTACATGTTTTATGTTCATTTACTAAATTAATTTAAAAGAAGCAACATAAAAAGACAACACATATCATGATGACCTGAAATAGAATAGCTGTTCAAATTGCGGCACACTTCTCTTTCAAATAGGGGCATAATTCTGCAAAATTGCTTGGCAAAAATACCTATCCTTGATGTAAACAAGTATTTCAAGTCTGAAAAGGACATCTTTAATAGTCCAAGCCAATGCTATCTTCAAACATTCCCTATTGGAATAAAAGAACATAAACAACTTCACCATTCAAGGGATTTATTCACATTTACATTATGGCCCAAAATGAAAAACAAATGGAAATAGCACAAAATACGATTTCAGTACAACAAATATAATTACGTTAATGCCTTAAACTATACATGTATATCTATACAAATATATTCTGACATGTTTCTAGCATTGTGTATCTAGAGACATGACTTCAGTTACAAAAAAAGACAAAATAATCTAAATAATCAGCTAACATGTAAGTTTTCTGTACAAATCTATAAACACACACTTTCAGGATGCAGATTACTTATAAACACACTAGTAGCTAGGCTGTCATTGTTTATATAACATTCAAATCTTGTTACAGATTTCTTAACATGACTTACTGCTTTGTCAACAGCTTTTTAAATTGGACATAAAGTTAATTAATTTGGTATAAATTACAAATTTAAAGTTAAGAACTGATTCAGCATTAGCTCCAACAACACAAAAGTATGGTTTAACCATCACCTTGCTGGATCCAAAAATGATTAACCTTTGCTACCGGGATAGACCCAGGCCAGCCTGTATATCTGCACTGACCAGGCTCTAACAAAACTGTAGCTTAACTTGTTATATTTAGATACTGAAATCCCTTAAACTTTAAATGGACTGTTCCAAATTCAAAGCAGGGCAAATCCATTACAAACATTCAGCAGATTCAGGATTAATGATTACTTCTGCTACAATTCTTTTGTCTTCACTAAAAGTTGCATTAGCTTTTTTTAACATTAAAGTCGTTTTCAGGAGTTTTCATATAAACATATATGCCTATATGTTTATATGAAAACGACCGAGAACGTCCTTAAAAATTCTTTAATTTAAAGTTATTTAATTCAAAGTTAAGGTTTTTCTTAAACAATATCTAACCTAGTTCTAGGACCTCATATATGGAATCAGTAACAAATCAAATGCGTAGTATCCCTATTTAATCATCCAGCACTTAAGTTTCATGCCAGCACTGAATATTTATGCCAGATAGAAGTGCTTTATGTGTAAATGTAAACTGAATAAAAAAAAGAATCTTTGCTTCCTGTTTTGGTCATGCTTAGGTTAAACAAAAATATCTGTTCATACAATCACACAAGTAATCATCAAGTGTTTAAATCAGTGGCAACGGCTTTCAGTTCCAGTAGGTTCAGGTTTAAATCCAAGAAATAACAAATTTTTAATGAAAATACATAAATCCTTATATCTTTAACATATTTTTTTCTAAAAAATGTCAAGTCATCAAAATCTGAAAAAGCTAAACACATACTTTACATATGCTCGACTTTCATCCAAACAATCATCATTTCTTATAAATCAATAAACTATTATGCTGTTTTTATCTTATAGATGTAATATAACTTCATAGGATAACATCACACAATATAATATAGCTATCTAAAAAAAAATAGTTTTTTGTTTTTTTTTCAAGTTATATGACAACCTGTTGTCATCAAAAGTAAGTCATCATTCAATCTTATATTAGAATTAACTCCTTCCTTTCTAATCCAGCTCAGTCACTGACTGTCCTAACCCGCTAAATGTTCCTGCAGTGTGACCAACTTTATAAATTCAGCAATATTTTGATAAAGAATGAAACACAAAGTGGTGCCGTGGCGGAGTGGTTAACATAATAGAGGTTAGTAATCTAAGAATTGCTGACATTCATTGCTAAGTACAGGTTCAAAGAACGGATTTGAGAGTGTTTCAATAAGCTTATAGCTTTCAACACACTCATACTAAAATAAATTTGTATAAACTTTACCCATTGAAAATGACCAATACACTAAAATTAGAAATTCAAGCCAATTTTTTCTCAAAATCAGGAACTTACACAATTACCTAGACAAGTTCACAACAACAACCACCTTCAGAACAACTGTTACCATTTGATTTTTTTCTCAGATTTTTTTCAGTTTAGAGAATGACCCAATATACTTATTAACGCTTTTAAAAAGACCAATATATTTAATAAACGGAATCCTTTTTTATTAACAAGAGCTGTCGGTAGGACAGCATGCTCGACTATTCTTAGTGCTTGATAGTAAAAAAAATGCCTGATACAGTTACCTCCTCCTGTTAACAGGTTGGGGTCATGATGGTGAACAAGTGTGCAAAGTTTCAAAGCCATATGTCAATGGACTTTGAAAATATTTGAACTATTACAAAAACTTTAACGTAAATTCTAAGTCGAAAAAGGGGCATAATTCTGTCAAAATGCTTGATAGAGTTACCTCCTCCTGTTTACAGGTTGGGGTCATGATGTTGAACAAGTGTGCAAAGTTTCAAAGCCATATGTCAATGGACTTTGAAAATATTTGAACTATTACAAAAACTTTAACGTAAATTCTAAGTCGAAAAAGGGGCATAATTCTGTCAAAATGCTTAATAGAGTTACCTCCTGCTGTCTACAGGTTGGGGTCATGATGTTGAACAAGTGTGCAAAGTTTCAAAGCCATATGTCTATGGACTTTGAAAATATTTGAACTATTACAAAAACTTTAACGTAAATTATAAGTCGAAAAAGGGGCATAATTCTGTCAAAATGCTTGATAGAGTTACCTCCTCCTGTCTACAGGTTGGGGTCATGATGGTGAACAAGTGTGCAAAGTTTCAAAAGCCATATGTCAATGGACTTTGAAAATATTTGAACTATTACAAAAACTTTAACGTAAATTCTAAGTCGAAAAAGGGGCATAATTCTGTCAAAATACTTGATAGAGTTACCTCCTCCTGTCTACAGGTTGGGGTCATGATGGTGAACAAGTGTGCAAAGTTTCAAAGCCATATGTCAATGGACTTTGAAAATATTTGAACTACAGTCGACTCTCGTTATCTCGAAGTCATTGGGACCGTCCAAAAAATATCGAGATAACGAAATGTCGAGATAAACATATTAGGGTTAGTACAAGGCGAAACTGATTTTTACAAAAGACATGTGCATACCTTATGTCAAATAAACTATAATGTCCCCATGTCTTGTTTTCATAGGCTTAGTCAATATTTAACAAAGTAACATAAGCGGATGTTTACCAGCGGAAATACGAGTGTCTGTGATAAAAACACATCGTGAGGTTTACTCAGTAATACACCAATATAGTGAATCGGATATCGGATATGGTTGATCCGGATATCCTCCCGGGTTATTTATCGGGTCTTTCTCGAGATTGTTCCACCGCTGATTGATTTGGTGGTGATGTTGTGAAACAATATTGCAACGATAGCGTTTCTATACTTTCACTTTTTCATTTACATTCAAAGTCATAATGAATTGATACAGTGTTCGAATATTTAAAAAGAATGAAAAAATTCACTCATTGTGGACATAAGTCAATCAACACGCTAAATAGATTAACTTTTATAAAAACAGCTAAACTTGTTACAAACATAATCGTCATTATGACACGCGCTATTATTTGAGCAATTATCGTCTAGATTGTGTTTTTCACACGTCTGAAGGGAACAGACGAAGTCGAGATAAACAAAGGATAATAGTGTGAAAATAACTGTTGGGGCTGAAATTTTACATCGAGATACTGAAAATGTCGAAATAGAAATATCGAGATAAACAAATATTTCCAATATAGATAAAGAAGGAAGAAAATCGGGACTTTAAAAATTTCATCGAGATAACGAAATATCGAGAAAAGCGATGTCGAGATAACGATAGTTGACTGTATTACAAAAACTTTAACGTAAATTCTAAGTCGAAAAAGGGGCATAATTCTGTCAAAATGCTTGATAGAGTTACCTCCTCCTGTCTACAGGTTGGGGTCATGATGGTGAACAAGTGTGCAAAGTTTCAAAGCCATATGTCAATGGACTTTGAAAATATTTGAACTATTACAAAAACTTTAACATAAGTGGTTACGCCGACGCCGACGCTCGGGTGACTGCAATAGCTCTACTTATTCTTATTGAATAGTCAAGCTAAAAAGGGCCTGTATATAGTAATATTAAGGCATGTTGTTTATATAAACAAAAGAATTGTTAGACAATCGTGTACCATATGGTTAAAACAATGGCTATTTATCAAACATAAAAGCTACTATCATTTTAACATCTGTAATATATGTGAACAATACAGAATCACCATGTGTATTTATATTATATCTTACAAATCACATATTATGTATCATATAAATCATATTACATGTATATATATATTTCCAGGCTTACATTTACGTGTAGAATCAATCTGTTAAGAATTTATATAATTTGCTGTATAAAAGATGTTTATAACATAAATTGATGCTAGCCATTGCTGCTATAACAACTTTAAACCATGACTTGGGGTAGAGGTCAAAATGGGGTGCAAATACATCAAATATCAAAGATATCAGTCTGTAAAAAAAGCTGCTATGTGTAAGTTTAGGGTGTTTTGGGAGAACAAAAAGTACTAACTTGCAACTGTATGCTCTGTAAAAAATTAAGGAGACATTTTTGCTTAAATAATAAGCCTTAAAAATCTGTGTGCCTTTTTTTTCTGAAAAAATTCTGAAGTGGAATTCAAACTTGAAACTTACTTTAGAATTCAAAAAGCAGGATGGAAGACCAACTGTAATTTTATTTCAATAATTTTTCATATTTAACAAAATAATAGTAACAATCAGACATGTAAACAAATGATGCCAAATCCATGCAAAAACTTCATATGCTGCAAATTTCAAATTTTCAGGTTGTTGGTATTTTGAGACAGAAATGTTTGCCATTCAGGCAATAAACATTTTGAAATTATCACTTTAATAATGATGAATAGTTTTGTCTGAAAAATGTATAGGTCCAGTTATAATATTGAGTGTGGTAAGAGTTAATATCAAAACTTACATCCATTAACTGATAATTAAAATGTAATAAAAAAACAAACCCTGAATGACAAATAAAAAATTGAAAGAAGCAAGTTAAACAATTCTTTTAGCTGAGAATCAGTACAATGATTTATAAAATTAACAATATGCAACTCATTTATCAATATAGGCCACACATACTGATAAATAGTGGAGCAATCAAAGCTTAAGAAATATATGTAACAGAGCTGAATGTAACGGAGTTGATCAATTTGTGTTAAATACTTATAGTCTATCTATTGCTGGTATCTTCAATTTTACAGCTAACAAAAACTGTTCTCATTTTCAATGCTAACAAAGTGTTGTCATCTTCATAGCTAACATAAACTGTTGTCATCTTTATATCTAACATAAACTGTTGTCATCTTCATACCTTACAAACTGTTGTCATCTTCATAGCTTACAAACTGTTATCATCTTTAAGCTAACATATACTTTATAGCTAACATAAACTGTTATCATCTTCATAGCTAACATAAACTGTTATCATCTTTAAGCTAACATATACTTCATAGCTAACAAAAACTGTTGCCATTTTCAAATCTAACATAAACTGTTGTCATCTTTAGTATAGCCAACATAAACTGTTATCGTCTTTATAGCTAACATATACTCCATTGGTGGAGGAAGACCTCAGGTGCCCTTCCGTGCATTATTTCAGGCATGAACGGGTACCTGAGTAGAACCACCGACGTTCCGTAAGCTAGCTGGAGTCATCTTTAGTATAGCCAACATAAACTGTTATCGTCTTTACAGCTAACATAAACTATTATCGCCTTTAGTGTTGTAATTTTCAGAGCTAACATAAACTGTTGTCATCTTCATCTTTTTAACTTACAAATATTGTATATATACAGAAACTGGTTATCACCATAACAAACTGAAATTGTGTTTTTCCATAGAAAACAGAAACTTTTTATATATACATAGGTAACATAAACTGTTAATATTCCTACATGTAGCTAGAAGTGATTGTTTATCTTCATAGAAAACAGAAACTGTTCATCTTCATAGCTGAAAGAAATTGTGTATACCTTCATAACCAGCAGTTTATCTTCATAACATAGTTTGTTTCTATAGCTAGCACTAGTTGTTTAATTTTCATAGTTAACAGAAACTGTTTATCTTCCTTGCTTTAAGTGACAGCCTGATGGATATTTCAAACCTATCATTTTCACAGCATCCATGTATGCAATGCATATCAGGACAGGGACATTCTAACAGTAGCTGCAACCTCTATATTATATTACTTCAAACTTGTACCATTATGTGCTCATATCTGAAAGAAATAAATTGGAAGATATTTAATAGTGTTGAAAACGTATTGCCATCATATTCATAAGCTATGGAAGTATTACCATCTTGAAATCTATCACAAGAGCGATCAGTAATCACATGTGTCGCCTCATGATGGCCAATTTCATGTTGGGACAAATTTTGTGACAGACGGACAGACAGACGGACAGTGCACAACTAGACTTGGTACTGATCATTCCTGTAAAGTTTGGATAAAATTGCACCAGTAGTTTATGAGGAGTAGTCCGGACAAGCTTTTGCGTATCTGGCAACACACAGAAAAAAAACACCTTTTTATCAAAGGGCCATAACTCGGCCAAAAATCATTCAGCCGGAAAACCCGTGCAATATGCGCAAGGACTTGAGCTACAGATCAATCCTGTAAAGTTTCATTGAAATTGCATGAGTGGTATAAGAGAAGTAGTCCGGACAAACTTTAAAATTAAAAATTATTAAAGGGCCATAACTCTGACAAAAATCATTGAACCGGAAAAAGCTGACAATATGCACAACTAGACTTTGTACTGATCTTTCCTGTAAAGTTTGGATGAAATTGCACCAGTAGTTTATGAGGAGTAGTCCGGACAAGTTTTGTGACGGACGGACGGACAGACAGACGGACGACGGAGAAGTGATCCCTATATGTCGCCACTACTCGGAGTAGTGGCGACACAAAAAGTGGTGGAAATATTGCCATAATTAACCTGTGGAAATACAGACATTATAAAAAGTGGGAAAATTGCCATCATAAGCTGTGGGAATATTGCGATTATAAGCAGTAGAAAAATATTGCCATCATAAGCTGTTGGAATCATGCCATCATAAGCTGTGGGAATGAATAATAAGCTGTGGGAATCATAAGCTGTGGACATATTGCCACCATAATCACTGGGAATATTACCATCATATGCTGTGACATTATTACCATCATATGCTGTGACATTATTGCCATCATAAGCTGTGGAAATATTGCCATAATAAGCAACATTATAAGAAGTGGGAATATTGCAATCATAAGCGGTGGGATGTTTCCATCATAAGCTGTTGAAATATTTCCATTATAAGCAGTGGGAATACTGCCATCATTAGCTGTTGAAATATTGCTTAAACAAGTTACAGAGTTTACATCATACCTTAGGCTTACAAAATTGAAAGAGCTAATTTTTCAAAATTACAACTGACAACTAATAATCATTACTCCAACAATACCATGTGGATTGCTTGTTTCCTCCAAATATTCTAGATTCAATATTTGCTTGCAAAATGCTATTCTGTTTTAAGAAATTTAAGATGTAAATATAAAATTCTAAATTAAAAAGGTGGGAAAATCTTCAAATTAGATGCTTAAGCTAACACTCTTGTTATACATGATCTGGGCAATGGCATAGAAAAACTACTTGAAGTGAAAATTGTTTCAATTTTTTACATTTTAAGATACATGTAAGTCTCTTCAATATAAGTCACAAACGTTTCAGCGATAATATTCAAAAGTAACACTCTATTCTATTCTATATGAAAATTAAAAGTAATCTAAATTACAATTCTTAACCTATCAATATTAAATATACATACTTGACTAGGCATGAGTTTTATAATGTTCCTTTAGTTTATCTTCCTCCGTGAAGAATTCCCCACAGATATTACAGTTCAAATGACTATCACCGCTGTTTTCACTGACATCTCCCGAATGTGACTGGTCACCCATCTCCGGATGCATTTTCTTAATATGTTTCTGTAAGTATCGGAATGATTTCCCACAGACGGGACACGGGCAATTTAACGTGACTTCTTTAGTTTCTTTAGCCTCTTCTTTTAAATTATGAATATTTTTCCGATGACGTAACATGTTTCCGTGTGATTTGAATGATTTATTACAGATGTCACAAATATTGTCTTTGCTGTCTTTTGATGAGTCAGAGAATTCGCCAAGTTTTTCTGCTACGAGTTTTTCGGCAACAAATTTTTCGGCAGTATATTCCATGCCTTCTTCAGTTTCTCCCCCTTGGAATTCATAGCTTTCAGAATATTCACCCTCGTCCTGAGGGTATTCACCCTCATCTTCTGGATACTCGCCCTCTTCCTGATGATACTCCTCCCCCTCAGGATCAAACTGGTCTTGTACATGTTGTAATGACTAGAAAATAACAAAATCATGAGTGAAATGATGCCAAACATGCTTAATATGCCTTATGGCCACTGATAACAACTATTTTAAGAAACTGGGTAAATATTGTACCATGGTAGACGGCCATAGATCTATATTTTAGTTGTAATTAAGTCAGTCCAATCTACAGTTTTTAAGTTATGCTCCTGACAAGAATCTAAGAAATGAACAAAGAGGGATAATTCGAAAACCAGAAATGGGTTAAGTTGTTGTCCTTAGCATTTAGATAATCCTATATAATATCAAATTTATGCAATTAATTAAAGGGACTAAACTGAGGCTTTTTGGACATCACTGGAATGAAAATTTTATATGTTTTTTGTGATGTTTATACTAATCCATGTTGATCTTTATCATTAACTTGTGTGTAAAATTTCAGATCATTGCTCAAACAGTTTTTCCAGAATAAACTGATACATACTTCTAATGCTTATAACTCAGATTTTACTTAATACAGATTTTAAATTTAATTCTGAGAAGATTTCTGTTTTAATTTTGCCATAATATTTGTCAGTTTTAATCACCCTGGAGGACCTATTCAAGAATTTCAAATGTTCTGAAAGTTTTTAGGCTTTTGGACCTCAGTGTCCTTCTATAAAATAAGCATCTTTCAAGAAAATAAGAAATTGACCATAGAAATTGGACACTGCACATTACTATTTCACCATCTCCTATTTCTATATTTTGACAAAATTTCTAATATACCTATTTAAACATTTGAAAGTTTGCTCGGTAGTGACATAATAATGTACAGATAGCCTTGTCAAGCATTCTTCCACCTGTAAGTAAAGTAAATATGGATGTGATAATAAAGACACCCTTGAACCTTGAAACAAATATTAAAGTAGTACCTTTTGTTCCTCATGAAATGTCCCACCATCCTCATCCCCCACATTAGCTTCCAACTCCTCTATATCATCATCATCTTCAACATCCTCTTCTTCTTCTTCATCATACTGATCTTCATTTAAATGTGCTTCATGATGTGTCTTCATTTCAGTTTTCCGCACTATTTTATTACAAATTAAGCACTTGGCCATAATTGGTCCTAACATTAAAAAGTTTTCAGACGTTGGTGACGCTGTTCTTTGATATGCCTGATCCCCCTGTCCATGAACCCTACCAGGCATTGCGTCATTCCCAATATTGGCCGTATTAACACATATTATTTCCCCTTCAGAACTATAATCTTCAAAACCTTCATACTCCTCATCCTCATAGTCCTCAGGAAATTCCTCACCCATTCCTGGATGAAAGTTACGTGAAACATTAAACCCCTCTGCGTAAATCTCCCCCTCTTCCCCAAAATCTACCATAGCCGAATTAGCAAGTTTTCTCATATGAGCTTCCCTCATTGCTTTAAGCGCAGCTTTATCCTCATCATCAAGATCGTCTTCATCAAATTCTTCCTCTTCATCATCAAACTCTTCATCATCAATTTCCTCTAAATCGTCACCCTGATTGTCATGATATGCAGTACCATGTAGCATCATCCTAGGTGGAAGCATCCCAGGACCTTCTGACCCTTGACCCCGCTGGCCAGATGTGGTTTGACCAGATGACCCAGGCTGACCTTTGTCTTTTGGATATTCAACTACCCAGCTCAATTTTGATGAGAGTTGGCCAAGTTTTGCCTGTATTTCTCTATCAGCTTCAGACATGTTTTCCAGGTGTTTAGCTTTTGTCATTTGAATAAGGGTCTCAGTGTCAAGGTTATCAATACTTTCTAACCTGAAACATAAGGACGAAGATGTTTTCATCAAAGTTTTTGAAGATAAAATAAAATATGTTAAACACGTTTACATAAAATTATCATCAGCATAATGAAATATACATGTATTTTAGTTAATGTACAAGGCACATGCTGAAACCTGTTAAAGAAACACTATAAGGCCATCCTTAAAAAGATGTTTGTTTGCAGTAAACCGACCCAGAATTTTCAAGGTGGGTAGGTAGGTCGATTTTTTTTTTTTTTATTGAACTGTTCTCCCAAATAAGCATGGAATTTCAAAATGCTGGACAATATATGCTTTGATAATCTGGTAACAATTAATAAATTGATAACTGAATTCTAATTTAATAAGACCTACATTTTATTTCTTCTATTAACCTTTAAAAGAACGAAAACAAAGCACAAGGCATAATTTTCTGATTCAAATTTTTTTTTTTATCCAGACCATGAAAAAACAAGAGGGCCATGATGGCCCTGAGGTCGCTCACCTGTATATAGGCCCCCTCCCACCCCCGGGCCAATTTTTACCCAAGGGCTTTTATTTGTTTATTTGAACAGACTTGGTAGACACCCATAAGAAGATGTTTCATGCTAAACATCTAAGTTCTAGCTCATTGGGTTTTTTAAAAAAGGATTTTTAAAGTTTTTACTATACACATATAGTTAAAAACAATGACACCCCTGGGGCAGGGCCAGTTTTGACCCCCGGGCTTTTATTTGAACATTTTTGTAGATATTTACTTAAAGATGTTTCATGCTTAATATCTAAACTCTAGCTATTTGGGTTTTTTCAAAGAAGATTTTTAAGTTTTTGCTATACACATATAAGGAAAATCAATGACCCCCCCGGGCGGGGCCAGTTTTGACCCCAGGGCTTTTATTTGAACATACTTGGTAGACACCCATTAGAACATGTTTCATGCTAAATATCTTAGCTCTAGCTTATTGAGTTCTTTAAAAGAAGATTTTTTAAGTTTTTACTATATGCATATAGGGAAAATCAATGACCCCCTGGGGCGGGGCCAATTTTGACCCCAGGGCTTTTATTTGAACAAACTTGGTAGACACTCATTAGAAGATGTTTCATGCTAAATATCTTAGCTCTAGCTCTTTGGGTTCTTTAAAAGAAGATTTTTTAAGTTTTTACTATATGCATATAGGGAAAATCTATGACCCCCTGGGGCAGGGTCAATTTTGACCCCAGGGCCTTTATTTGAACAAACTTGGTAGACACTTATTAGAAGATGTTTCATGCCAAATATCTAAGCTCTAGCTCTTATGGTTCTTTAAAAGAAGATTTTTTAAGTTTTTACTATATGCATATAGGGAAAATCAATGACCCCCGAGGCGGGGCCAATTTTGACCCCAGGGCTTTAATTTGAACAAACTTGGTAGACACTCTCTAGAAGATGTTTCATGCTTAATATCTTAGCTCTAGCTCTTTGGGTTCTTTAAAAGAAGATTTTTTAAGTTTGTACTATATGCATATAGGGAAAATCTATGACCCCCTGGGGCGGGGCCAATTTTGACCCCAGGGCTTTTATTTGAACAAACTTGGTAGACATTCACTAGAAGATGTTTCATGCTTAATATCTTAGCTCTAGCTCTTACAGTTCTTTAAAAGAAGATTTTTTAAGTTTTTACTATATGCATATAGGAAAATCAATGACCCCCCGGGGCGGGGCCAGTTTTGACCCCAGGGCTTTTATTTGAACAAACTTTGTAGACACTCATTAGAAGATGTTTCATGCCAAATATCTTAGCTCTAGCTGTTTTGGTTCTTTAAAAGAAGATTTTTTAAGTTTTTACTATATGCATATAGGGAAAATCAATGACCCCCTGGGGCGGGGCCAATTTTGACCCCAGGGCTTTTATTTGAACAAACTTGGTAGAAACTCACTAGAAGATGTTTCATGCCAAATATCTAAGCTCTAGCTCTTAGGGTTGTTTAAAAGAAGATATTTAAAGATTTTTCTTTCGGTTGCCATGGCAACCAGAGTTCTGAATGGAATTAAATTCTTTGAACAATTTTTAAAGGTGACCACCAAAGGAACATTCCTGTGAAGTTTGGATGAAATTGGCTCAGTGGTTTATGAGGAGATGTCATTTAAAGCAAAAGTTTACGGACGGACGACGGACGGACGGACGCCGGACGAAAAGCGATCACAAAAGCTCACCCTGTCACTTTGTGACAGGTGAGCTAAAAACTTGAGTAGGGGCAAATTTTGTGAGTCGGTCGCATTACTGCATACAAACATTTTTTTAAGGATGGCCTGATACATTATATATCCACATACACCCATTAATTAAAGAATTGGATGTATCCATGATAATCCTGAGATGCTAATTTATATGCCATCATAATTTCCAAAGAAACATTGTACAAAAATAGCCGAGAAAATCATAACCACGAAAATCATATCCCATTAAATAAAATCTCTTTCTTCAAAAATATATTTGAAGATCATTAAATGTACTTTTAAACATTCTTTTGTGTTTTTGGTGATTTTTAAAAAAACAACATAATTGAATTATAAGAAAGTTTTAATCAGTAAAACCATTAAGCTTAAAACTTATTATCTCATAGGAATTTGGAAAGGAATCTTTTAAGCCTATGCAAAAATGAAGTTTAATTAATGAACATTTAGATACAGGGCTGCAGATAACATGCATATTTGCATTATTACCCAATTAAAATGTCTAAAAACCCAATAGAAATAATAACTAAGGGTAAGAAAAAGTAAATGAATTCTTATTTATGCAAACTACATTTGAACTGGTGCGTAATGACGTAAATTATTACTTAACGCGTACTTCAGGCAGATCATACTGTTTAAGACTGTTTTAACCTTTAAATTATATCAGGCAGCTTGGAAATCTCCTAGGCCAATAAACCATAAATCAAAGTAGTAAGTAGCTTTTTTTATAACCATACAAAACCTACAGCAGTCTACAATGAAGGTCAGAAATTTTGGGTAAAATACATGAACTTGTGCTTTATAACCCAAATTGGTTAGAGGGGTTAGGGTAAAAAATACAGAAATAACTCAAAGAAAATAGAAACTAGAAATGTGTCCATAGGACATGGATGCCCCCACACGCCACTGTTTTGTCAATCTTATGACTCTAGGTCAAATATTTTTTGGACTACATGTGCCACAAGTTGAAAACTAAAAATCAACAAAGGGCCATAATTCTGTTAAATTTGGTTGCAGCAAAAATTCCTTCCTTTACTACCATCTACACATTAAGGTTGTTCATCCCTGGAAGTTTAGGCAAAATCTGCCATCCGGTTTAAGAGGAGTTGCGTTCACAAAATTTCTACATAGTATATAGTGAAAAAATCAACAAAGGGTCATAATTCTGTTAAATTTGGTCGCAGCAAAAATTCCTTCCTTTACTATCATCTACACATTAAGGTTGTTCATCCCTGGAAGTTTAAGCAAAATCTGCCATCTGGTTTAAGAGGAGTTGCGTTCACAAAATTTCTACATAGTATATAGTGAAAAAATCAACAAAGGGCCATAATTCTGTTAAATTTGGTCGCAGCAAAAATTCGTTCCTTTACTACCATCTACACATTAAGGTTGTTCATCCCTGGAAGTTAAAGCAAAATCTGCCATCCGGTTTAAGAGGAGTTGCGTTCACAAAATTTCTACATAGTATATAGTGAAACAAGAGGGCCATGATGGCCTTGAGGTCGCTCACCTGTATATAGGCCCCCGGAGCGGGGCCAGTTTAAACCCCAGGGCTTTTATTTGAACAAACTTGGAACACACCCATTAGAAGATGTTTCATGATGTTAAGTTTTTTCTACACACATATAATGAAAAAACAATGACCTCCCCCCCTTTGGCAGGGCCAATTTAAACCCAAGGGCTTTTATTTGAACAAACTTGGTAGACACCAACAAAAAGATGTTTCCTGCTTAAAATCTAACCTCTAGCTCATTGGGTTTTTAAAAGAAGATTTTTTTAAGTTTTTACTATACACATATAGTTAAAAACAATGACACCTCTGGGGCGGGGCCAGTTTTGACCCCAGGGCTTTTATTTGAACAAACTTTGTAGACACTTACTAGAAGATGTTTCATTCTTAATATCTAAACTCTAGCTATTTGGGTTTTTTCAAAGAAGATTTTTAAGTTTTTGCCATACACATATAAGGAAAATCAATGACCCCCGGGGCAGGGCCAATTTTGACCCCAGGGCTTTTATTTGAACAAACTTTGTAGACACCCATTAGAACATGTTTCATGCTAAATATCTTAGCTCTAGCTCTTTGGGTTCTTTAAAAGAAGATTTTTAAAGTTTTTACTATATACATATAAGGAAAATCAATGACCCCCTGGGGCGGGGCCAATTTTGACCCCAGGGCTTTTATTTGAACAAACTTGGTAGACACTCACTAGAACATGTTTCATGCTTAATATCTAAACTCTAGCTATTTGGGTTTTTTCAAAGAAGATTTTTTAAGTTTTTGCTATACACATATAAGGAAAATCAATGACCCCCGGGGGCAGGGCCAATTTTGACCCCAGAGCTTTTATTTGAACAAACTTTGGAACAAACTTTGTAGACACCCATTAGAACATGTTTCATGCTAAATATCTTAGCTCTAGCTCATTGGGTTCTTTAAAAGAAGATTTTTTAAGTTTTTGCAATACACATATAAGGAAAATCAATGACCCCCGGGGCGGGGCCAATTTTGACCCCAGGGCTTTTATTTAAACAAACTTTGTAGACACCCATTAGAACATGTTTCATGCTAAATATCTTAGCTCTAGCTCTATGGGTTCTTTGAAAGAAGATTTTTTAAGTTTTTACTATATGCATATAGGGAAAATCAATGACCCCCTGGGGCGGGGCCAATTTTGACCCAAGGGTTTTTATTTGAACAAACTTGGTAGACACCCATTAGAAGATGTTTCATGCTAAATATCTTAGCTCTAGCTCTATGGGTTCTTGAGAAGATTTTTTAAGTTTTTACTATATGCATATAGGGAAAATCAATGACCCCCTGGGGCGGGGCCAATTTTGACCCAAGGGCTTTTATTTGAACAAACTTGGTAGACACTCACTAGAAGATGTTTCATGCCAAATATCTAAGCTCTAGCTCTTTGGGTTTTTTAAAAGAAGATATTTAAAGTTTTTTCTTTTGGTTGCCATGGCAACCAGAGTTCTGCATGGAATTAAATTCTTTGAACAATTTTTAAAGGTGACCACCAAAGGAACATTCCTGTGAAGTTTGGATGAAATTGGCTTAGTGGTTTATGAGGAGATGTCATTTAAAGTAAAAGTTTACGGACGGACGACGGACGAAAAGCAATCACAAAAGCTCACCCTGTCACTTTGTGACAGGTGAGCTAAAAATCAACAAAGGGCCATAATTCTGTTAAATTTGGTCGCAGCAAAAATTCCTTCCTTTACAACCATCTACACATTAAGGTTGTTCATCCCTGGAAGTTTTAGCAAAATCTGCCATCCGGTTTAAGAGGAGTTGCGTTCACAAGATTTCGGGACGTACGGACGGACACTCGGACGGACAAGTGCAACGCTATATGCTCCCACTCTGTGGGGGCATAAAAACCCAATAGATCACAAAACAAGGGGTAAATACCCAATATACACAAAATGTTATCTGTAGTCCTGAGATAGAGTCTAAACAGAAAGTATGATTAATTTACAAATATGTTGACACAATTTCGCTTAATTGTGCATTATATCATCAATATATGACTAATGATTATACCTCACATTCAGTGTTTGTAATTTTTTTTTTATTTAACACAATGTTCATATAATACCTTTCATATCAATAAGCTTTCCAGCTAACTTAAAATTTCAAAATATGTACTTATTGAATAGTAAACAGTGTAGACCAGAATCAGACAGCACATAATGTACTGGCTGATCCTAGTCAAAACTTGATACATCAAAAATCTGTTGCTGCCAGGAAACAAAGGGTAAAGGGACATCCGTAAATCTATAAAAGAGTCCTGAATTTTTCTTCCATAAGTATGTGAAGCTGGGAAGTCAACATATATATGACAGTGTCGGCGTCAATTTTGAAATCTATCAAAAAGAATAGAAAAGTGATAAAACCCCTAGTCTACTGGAAGCAACCAATTCCATCGAAGCGATCTGTTCAGACCAAGATAAGCCGATACATATGTGTTGTCTGATCACAGTCTGCACTGTTTGCTATTCAGTCAAAGCATATTTAGAAAATTTCCCCATAAATGATGAATGGTTTTGTCCAGATTGAAAGATGGATAAGTCCATTTTACACAAATTAGATATTTAGCACTGTAAGGGTCAATGACAACATACCTATTTCTATTCTGATTAGATCCTGCCCTATCAGACTGAGAAGGTCCTTCTTTCTTTTGTGTATTTCCTGGCATAGTCATACTCTTTTCCTTTTCTTTGCTAACATTCTGTTCATTTTCTTTTTTTACAGCTACCTGATTTTCCGTTTTATATTGTGAATCTGTTGGATCTACTTCCTCTTTTATTTCAGTCACCATATCATTATTTGCACTATTTACACTTTCTCTATTTTCCTTATTTACACTCTTATTTTCCACTTTAACAGAAGGGTTTTCTTTCGACTGGGTATTTTGAATTTTAGCAGACTGGTTACTACCAGTTCTGGTATTTTTTTCTGTTAAACTATTCACTAGACTGGTCACTTTGTTTTGAGTATTTTGAACACTAGAGACTTGACTGGTTTGAAATTGTTTCTGTGGGTTCATTTGAGGCTCGGAACCAGACCGAATCATGGCTGCCATCATAGCCTGGTCCCCACTCTCATCCTCCCCCTTGGGCAGGTTTGGTTTATACTGAGCCAAGAATTTCTGAAACTCGGCATCCGAGATCCTTTCTTCAGTGAATCCACCTGATTTTGACACAACTTTGGTAGTTTTTAATTTCGGGGCTGGCCCTTTACTAACAGTAGACGCTGATGCCTGAGTAACTGATGGATTTGAAGATGTCTGTAATGAGGTATTAACATTTCCTTTCACCACAGGAAGCTGAGAGTCAGTTTTACGTCTTTTCGCGTCATGTGACTGGGAACTTATGTCTTGTGACACAGAAACAGTTTCTAATTGTCTTTTCTCAGCTACTTTGGTCTGATTCGGGGGGAGTGCTTTAATGTTTGATTTCTTAGATGAAGAATCAGTCACAGCTGGTGAAATTGGGGCCTTTTGTGTCACACTGGTAACTGGTGACACTAGTGCCACTTTTCCTACAAAAAAAAATGTAAAGATATACATTTTCAATCAAATAAGTTATTTTCTATTAAGTTGTACTTGTAAAAAGCTTATAAAAGTAAATTCTAACATAAACACCCATCAGATGTGTGCAGTACAATCAAACTCAACTAGTCAGAACTGTATTTCTATCCTTACTGTGTACACTTAAAATTCTGTATTTTTTTAACTGTATCAATTTGGAAAAAAAAATCCATTAATGACCAAGATGGTTAAAAAGCCACATTAGGTAAATTTCTAACACAAATACTTTGTTTCTTTGTTTGATAACTAACATAATATGTTTTTCATTCAAAACTAACCAAAAAATTACTGTTTAAGAAAAAAATAAATAAAAATGGAACTGCTTGTAATCATATTGTAAACAGTTAAGATTTCAATCATGAAGATAAAAATTAATATTGCTTGGATTTTTTTTCATAAAACAGGCATACCAGCATCCCCTCTGGTTACTGGCCCTACAGCAACTTGTCCTGGTCTCTGTGGCTGGGGCTTTATTCCTAAAATGATAAAAACAACAACATTAGCCTGCCTCATTAATTAGTTCTTTCAGAGTGGCAAGTGTAATATACAGACAAAACTATGGGCCATTATATAGCCATACCAGGCTTCATACATATCCGGGGAGGCAAAATCTGATTTGGAGTTACTTCTTATCTTTTTTATCTGAAGCATTTCTGTACTTGTCCATAATTCTTATCATGAAATTTTAATATAAAAGTAAATTCTGTAAAAAATTTCACTTGTACCTTCTGGTTGTGAGACAACCTGGGTAAAACAATAAGATTTTTCCTACCCCTGTCTAAGCAGACAGAATAGACCCTTAAATGACAACTAAATACTTTTTAATCTTATAAAACATATAAAATGTATAAATATATAATATAAATATATAAAATTAGAGTTAAACTATGTAGAAATAAAGAATCTCAAACAAACCTGTGAGAAAATTCAGGAATTTGTTTTTAACAATCCCGACATCAGCTGTGTTGACAAATCGGAGTGCATTCGGTGAGGCCAAATGTCCTACACACAAATCTGTCGCACTTGCTGTCAATAACACAGTTTCTTCCCCTGTCTCCGACAGCCTCTCCAACTGTTTATGGTAAAAGTGTGCACATTGTTAAATTATGTATTGTTATTTTTTTACATTTTTCACCCATGAATCGTAATAACAAAAGCAAAACAAGAGCACCGCAAGGCGGAGCATTATATGCCCGAAAGTGTTTTTTTTTAAGTAAAAATGAAGCATTTGTAAGACATGGGAATTAGCTGTTCATCCTATAAAATTTTACAGCTGTAGGTTGATTATTACTGAAGTTTTTGAGCTGAAACTGTTTTCAGTTTTAAGGCAATAGTGGCTTTAACCTTTGACCTTGTGACCCCAAAATCAATAGGGGTCTTCTACCCAATATGGACAGTCATCCTAAGAAGTTTGAATATTGCGGGCCAAATGGAACTTTAGTTATCCTCTAGAAACCAAATTGCTAACGGACTGACGGACATACTCACAAAATGGTACTTATGTGACTTTTCCTTTGATCTTTTTGGCCATTTTTAGTCACACAAGGCTTAAAAAAAGACACACAAGTAAAAACAGAATGAATAGGATCAAAGAGAGTTTACTGTCACCCATTGTTCTCCAAGTCACACAAATACCTCTGGGTTCGTACGGAGAGACAGACAGACGGACGCGAGGGGGTATAACATAATATGCCCTTTCGGGCATATAACAATGAAGTGAAAAATATAAATATCTTTTACTGGAATTAGAAAATGTGCTTATTGTGCTAAATTGCTGTTAACTTTCCCATACCAGTGACATCATTTTTACATATTTTTAATAAGTAATAGATAGAAATTTCATTAACATCCTATTAAATAACATACAATGTAAAAAATTATTATCTGTGCAAAAGTAAAGTATTTGTCTAGATATTTTTATCTGAAATTTCTTTTAAACAAAAAATAGATTACAACAAGCAACTATCATAGTATTGCAAGCAATCCATAAGTCCCCTACCGGTTAGAACCCCAGCAACATTCTGATGGGCCATTGGCCATTCAATTTTACCAGTGAATGAATGACATGAATGAACTTAAATCTTTTGAGTTCTAAGTTTGTCTATATCACAGTAATGTGTTAAGTTTCCCTGCCTAGTAAGGAAATTATGTTTATACAACCTTGTAATATTATTATGATGTGGGATTTTAAAGTAAATCCTATAAGGAATGAAGAAGTTGGAGTAAAAAATACCAATTTCTAGAAAAAATCTAAGTTCAAGGGGGACATAATTCTGGAAATAGTCTTGCTAGAGTATTTAACCTCAAAAATGTTGAGTGATAATAAGAAACATATATATAAAGTTTGATGTAGAAACATTAGGAAATTAAGAAGTTATTTAAAAAAGACATTTTTTTTCCCCATAAAAATTCTAAGTTCAAGGGAGGTAATACTGATAATTTTTGTGCTAGAGTTGTAAACCATGTCACATATGATGTGGTTGATGACCAGAAACTTATATTTAATGTTTGAAGTAAACACCTTAAGAAATAAAGAACTTATAGTGAAAAAGCTGAAAAATTTAAATCAGAAATCTTGAAATTCAGGCTATTTGTGAATTTTCCACATAGGAAGAAAAGAAAAAGATGTGCTTAACCCTTTACCTCATATATACGCGAAACAACGCACTTTTGACCCCCCTCCCTTTTTTAGGCCTCAAATAGTGAAAAAATGTCCTATTTGGGCCCCAAACACATGTTTTCGTTTGAGAAATGTTGCTAAAAAAATTGAGCACTTTTTCCGCGCCGCCCCCCATCCAAAAGATACATCAGGGGGTTACCAGAAGGGGGATGTGCCCCCTTCTGTTAGGGGGGTTTGAAGGGGGCGGAGTCCCCCTCATCGCCAAGAAAATTTTGGACTTGTGAGAGGCTAAAAATGACCCCAGGTCGATCATAATGTAACGTGTAACCAAATCTGAAAAGCCTTTGACTCTATCTCAATCCCTTGAGAAGTTGCAGCACTTTGAAATAAATTTTGATGGAAAAAATCGAGGCAAAATAGTGATTTTTGGCAATTTTGAGATGTCCCCTCGTTGCCATGGTAACAGGAAATATAAGACTGAGCATGTCGTTACAAAGGCAATGGTCCAGTCAACATTTGTGCCAAGTTTGATTAGTATCGAAGCATTTTTCATAGTTTCATAGCAGTTTGAACTTGTAACAGGAGGCTTTTCAGTGAAAACGGCCATTTTTCACAATATGCTCATGGGGGAAAGGGATAATCTCCAGACTGCCTTCTACCCATGTTTCAAGTTTCATAAAAATATTTTCAGTACTTTTTGAGTAATCACTGGATCCAGTTTATGTGTTAAATTTGCCATATTTTCAGACTATTTGTTGCCATAGCAACCAGAATTTTCAACATAGGAACAAAAGAGAAAGATGTGCATAATCTCCAGACTGCCATCTACCCATATTTCAAGTTTCATAAAAATATTTTCAGTACTTTTTGAGTTATCACTGGATCCAGTTTATGTGTTAAATTTGCCATATTTTCAGACTATTTGTTGCCATAGCAACCAGAATTTTCAACATAGGAAGAAAAGAAACAAGAGCTGTTGGTAGGACAGCAACGCTCGACTATTCTTAGTGCTTGATAGTAAAAAAAAATGCTTGATACAGTTACCTCCTCCTGTTTACAGGTTGGGGTAATGATGGTGAACAAGTGTGCAAAGTTTCAAAGCCATATGTCAATGAACTTTGAAAATATTTGAGGTATTAAAAAAACTTTAACATAAATTCTAAGTCGAAAAAGGGGCATAATTCTGTCAAAATGCTTGATAGAGTTACCTCCTCCTGTCTACAGGTTGGGGTCATGATGGTAAACAAGTGTGCAAAGTTTCAAAGCCATATGTCAATGGACTTTGAAAATATTTGAACTATTACAAAAACTTTAACGTAAATTCTGAGTCGAAAAAAGGGGCACAATTCTGTCAAAATGCTTGATAGAGTTACCTCCTCCTGTCTAAAGGTTGGGGTCATGATGGTGAACAAGTGTGCAAAGTTTCAAAGCCATATGTCAGTGGACTTTGAAAATATTTGAACTATTACAAAAACTTTAACGTAAATTCTATGTCGAAAAAGGGGCATAATTCTGTCAAAATGCTTGATAGAGTTACCTCCTCCTGTCTACAGGTTGGGGTCATGATGGTGAACAAGTGTGCAAAGTTTCAAAGCCATATGTCAATGGACTTTGAAAATATTTGAACTATTACAAAAACTTTAACATAAGTGGTTACGCCGACGCCGACGCTCGGGTGACTGCAATAGCTCTACTTATTCTTATCGAATAGTCGAGCTAAAAAATGTGCATAATCTCCAGACTGCCATCTACCAATGGTTCAAGTTTCATAAAAATATTTTCAGTACTTTTTGAGTAATCACTGGATCCAGTTTATGTGTTAAATTTGCCATATTTTCAGACTATTTGTTGCCATAGCAACCAGAATTTTCAACATAGGAACAAATGAGAAAGATGTGCATAATCTCCAGACTGCCATCTACCCATATTTCAAGTTTCATAAAAATATTTTCAGTACTTTTTGAGTAATCACTATATCCAGTTTATGTGTTAAATTTGCCATATTTTCAGACTATTTGTTGCCATAGCAACCAGAATTTTCAACATTGGAACAAAAGAGAAAGATGTGCATAATCTCCAGACTGCCATCTACCCATATTTCAAGTTTCATAAAAATATTTTCAGTACTTTTTGAGTTATCACTGGATCCAGTTTATGTGTTAAATTTGCCATATTTTCAGACTATTTGTTACCATAGCAACCAGAATTTTCAACATAGGAACAAAAGAAAAAGACGTGCAAAATCTCCATACTGCCATCTATCCATATATCAAGTTTCATAAAAATACTTTTAGTACTTTTTGGGTTATTGCGGGATCCAGTTTTGTGGACGGACGGACTGACGGATGTTCTCACAGGACAGTAATTATGTGGCTACTCTATTGTTCTCTCTATTGTTCTTTTTAGCCACACAAAAGAAAATAGCCACATAAAAGCATTACGGAATGAATGACATCAAAGAGAAAGAACGGTTACCTATTGACCCTCTAGCCACATAATTACTGTCCTGTGAGTGCGGACTGACAGACAGACGGACAGACGGACGGAGGGTAAACCTAAAGTCCCCTCCGGGTAAACCGGTAGGGGACTAATAATTATTATTAAATATTTGAAAAAAGTTTACATACAAGAGATTGTAGTTCACACTTGAGGACAACTTTAAGAGCTGTCTGAAATTCATCACTGTCCCATTCCTCGCCATACAGATTTCCAGCCATCTTGTTTTCACAATCTGTCACCAACTACACACCTGTAGACAATAGATATCCTTTATCATAAATAAATTATAAAATATACATGTATTTCACCACTATAAAATGTAAAGTAAGCATTTCTAGCAACAGTATCTCAATGTTATTACAGAGCTCAAGATAATTTTTTGGCCAAGGGTTTTTTCCCCCTAAAATCAATTGTGACTGTTAAAATGTACAAATTCTAAAAAATGTGAAGTTTAAAAGAGTAAAATTAATTACAAGCATTTTGCATAGCATTTTTTGTTTGTTTTTTAAATTAATTGCATTGTCTTCTTTCTTATTATAAAACAGATTAATTAATTTTATTACACAGAGCAAATGATAAGCCTATCTGGTAGAGCAATATATACATGTAGCCCTTCATATGTCAAAATCAGGGGTGTCCATGGCCGAGTGGTTAAGGTTGTTGACTTCAAACCACTTGCCCCTCACCGCTGTAGGTTCGAATCCCTACAGGGACTTTTGATTCTTTCATGTGAGGAAGCTATCCAGCTAGCTTACAGAACGTCGGTGGTTCTACTCAGGGGCCTGTTCGTGCCTGAAATAATGCACGGAAGGGCACCTGAGGTCTTCCTCCACCAGTAAAGCTGGAATGTCGCGATATGACCTATACTGACTGTGTCGATGTGACATAAAACCAAAATAATAAAAAAACAAGAGCCGGTTGAACAGGGTGATGCTCCCCAATAGGTTTTGGACACAGGAAGGTATACCTCTTGTTGTGTCAGAGTTATGTCACAGACAAAGTTCAAAGTGTAAAAACAACCCAAATATTGTGCACGACACATTGTCTAAATATGGTGATCATTTTTGTGAAATAGTTGTAAAATCCGATTTCAAATAACAAAGTTATGCGCCTGACATTATTTTGCTGCAAGGTCATGCTGTGACCTTGACATTCAAGGTAGTGACCTAAATTTGCATGCGACACGTCAATTCAATATGGTGATCATCTCTGTGAAATAGTTGTTAAATCCGACTTCCAGTAACAAAGTTATGGGCCGGACACAATTTTGCTGCAAGGTCATAACGTGACCTTGACCTTCAAGGTAGCGACCCAAATGTTGCGCGCGACACAATGTCTCATTGTGGTGATCATTTCTGTGATCTGTAAAATCCGACTTCAAATAATGAAGTTATGTGCCGGACACAATTTTGCTTCAAGGTCATGCTGTGACCTTGACCTTCAAGGTAGCGAGCCAAATGTTGCGCATGACACGACATTTTAATATGGTGATCATTTCTGTGAAATAGTTTAAAAATCTGACTTCAAATAAGGAAGTTATGGGCCAGACACGATTTTGCTGCAAGGACATGCTGTGACCTTGACCTTCAAGGTAGCGACTTAAATGTTGTGCATGACACGTCATCTTAATATGATGATCATTTCTGTGAAATACTTATTAAATCTAACTTCAAATAGGGAAGTTATGGGCCGGACACGATTTTGCTGCAAGGTCATGCTGTGACCTTGACCTTCAAGGAAGCGACCCACATGTTGCGCGCGACACATCGTCTCAATATGGTGATCATTTCTGTGAAATATTTTTTAAATCCGACTTCAAATAACAAAGTTATGGACCGGACACGATTTTGCTGCAAGGTCATGCTGTGACCTTGACCTTCAAGGTAGCGACCCAAATATTGCGTGCGACACGTCGTCTCAATATGGTGATCATTTCTGTGAAATATTTTTAAAATCCAACTTCAAATAACAAAGTTATAGACCGGACACGATTTTGCTGCAAGGTCATGCTGTGACCTTGACCTTCAAGGTAGCGACCCAAATGTTGCGTGCGACATGTCGTCTCAATATGGTGATCATTTCTGTGAAATATTTTTAAAATCCGACTTCAAATAATGAAGTTATGGACCGGACACGATTTTGCTGCAAGGTCATGCTGTGACCTTGACCTTCAAGGTAGCGACCCAAATGTTGCGCGCGACACGTCATCTCAATATGGTGATCATTTCTGTGAAATATTTTTAAAATCCGACTTCAAATAATGAAGTTATGGACCGGACACAATTTTGCTGCAAGGTCATGTTGTGACCTTGACCTTCAAGGTAGCGACCCAAATGTTGCGCGCGACACGTCGTCTCAATATGGTTATCATTTCTGTGAAATATTTTCAAAATCCAACTTCAAACTAGAGGATGCTTTTGTAAAATAGCGCATGTCTCCCCCACTGCTGAGAATAAATGCTGGGAAGAAAATGACCGCATAAGGGTGGAAAGATCAAAAAAGAACAGAGTATATAAAACCAGACAACTGATATATCACTGATATATCAATAATAGTTAAATGTCCTCACTGATAAGAACTCTAGTTATCATCCGGAAATGAGAAAATGACCAATGGTCACTGTGACCTTAACCTTTGACCTACTGACCCCATAAACAAGAGGGATCATCTGCTCAATAAGACCAATCATCCTATGAAGTTTGAGGGTTGTAGGTCTAAAGGAACTCTAGTTATCATCCGGAAAGGAGAAATTAACCAACGGTCGCTGTGACCTTGACCTTTGACCTACTGACCATTAAAACAATAGGGATCATTTGATTAATAAGACCAATCATCCTATGAAGTTTGAGGGTTGTAGGTCAAAAGGAACTCTAGTTATCATCCGGAAATGAGAAATTGACCAACGGTCACTGTGACCTTGACCTTTGACCTACTGACCCCAAAAACATTAGGGATCATCTGCTCTATAAGACCAATCATCCTATGAAGTTTGAGGGCTGTAGGTCAAAAGGAACTCTAGTTATCATCCGGAAACGAGAAATTGACCAACGGTCACTGTGACCTTGACCTTTGAACTACTGACCCCAAAAACAATAGGGATCATCTGCTCAATAAGACCAATCATCCTATGAAGTTTGAGGTCTGTAGGTCTAAAGGAACTCTAGTTATCATCCGGAAATGAGAAATTGACCAACGGTCACTGTGACCTTGACCTTTGAACTACTGACCCCAAAAACAATAGGGATCATCTGCTCAATAAGACCAATCATCCTATGAAGTTTGAGGTCTGTAGGTCTAAAGGAACTCTAGTTATCATCCGGAAACGAGAAATTGACCAACGGTCAGTGTGACCTTGACCTTTGACCTACTGACCCCAAAAACAATAGGGATCATCAGCTCTATAAGACCAATCATCCTATGAAGTTTGAGGGCTGTAGGTCAAAAGGAACTCTAGTTATCATCCGGAAACGAGAAATTGACCAACGGTCACTGTGACCTTGACCTTTGAACTACTGACCCCAAAAACAATAGGGATCATCTGCTCAATAAGACCATTCATCCTATGAAGTTTGAGAGCTGTAGGTCAAAAGGAACTCTAGTTATCGTCCGGAAACGAAGAATGGACGGACGGACTGACGGACGGACGGACTGACGGACGGACAGGGCAAAAACAATATGTCTCCCCCCGAGGTGGGGGAGACATAATAAAGAAGTTATGGACCTGACACGGTTTTGATGCAAGGTCATGCTGTGACCTTGACCTTCTAGGTAGCGACCCAAATGTTGCACGCGACACGTCGTCTCAATATGGTGATCATTTCTGTGAAATATTTTTAAAATCTGACTTCAAATAATGAAGTTATGGACCGGACACGATTTTGCTGCAAGGTCATGCTGTGACCTTGACCTTCAAGGTAGCGACCCAAATGTTGCGCACGACACGTCGTCTCAATATGGTGATCATTTCTGTGAAATATTTTTAAAATCCGACTTCAAATAACAAAGTTATGGGCCGGACACGAATTCGGGACGTACGTACAGACTGACGGACTGACGGACGGACAACCCGACGACTATATGCTCCCCCGAAATTTTTAGGGGAGCATAAAAAAATTAAATCAAAATTAAGTTATGCGACCTAATGTCAATGTTTCTCTTTTCAAAGTATCACTTCTTTGAGGGATACACTTCTGATGTCATCAACAGTTGAAATTTGAGCCAATAAAAAATATCCAGTTTTGAGCCCCAAATTCCAACTGAAAATCCAGTTTTGGCCCATTGCATTTGTCACAACAATGTGTCAAGTTACCTACAAGTTTGGGATACATGATAATTATGGTATTTACTATTACTACATATATTTATATAGCAGATAATTAATGTTCTAGAACAAAATATTATTATTGATCAGATAAATGTTCATGCTAAATTACTTGGAATTTTATCAATAGTTTTTTTCAAGCAGCATTTTATAAGAATATCCAAATAAATACATTTCTATGGTTTTCTCAATGAATATTTGAAACACTAATAGAAAATGTGTGTATTCTAGACCTATCCACTTTAAAACAAAGAACAGGTAATCATATAAATGACAAAATATAAAATATAGAGACTAATCTATGCCTGACTTCGTGAAGTCAGGTCTGAATCGTGGATTGGATTGTCACCTGACTGGCAATACTAAGCCTTGATAAAATATATTCATTCTTCAATGATTACTCTGTAATAATCTACAATGGTGTTTAAACAAAATTGGGAAAAAAAATTTTTTACATAACAGGCACATGCTGTAGTATCTTCCTTTTAAATTTCAAACAATGTGACCCTGCCATTCATGAGTTAAGTACTATTTTGCAGACATTCACATGGCTGGAAATTGACCCACAAGTCAATAAAAGTCAGTGATTGACCCAATAGCATGCTTATGCAGCTGTGAAAAACAGCTCCACTTCATCATTAAAAGAAATTTTCAATGCTTGCTAAAAGTGTTGAAGATAAAAAGTCTATTACAAATGTATTACATCTATATTGTCCATAGAAATGCCTTAATAATGTTTCCATTTATTTGTCTTCGTATTTTCACAAAGACTTAAATTAATAAAATCTGTGATTTTCAGAGGAAAAAAACTGCTGATCATCAAACGCCAAATATTAATAAATTAACTGTAATTAATATAATTGATAAAGTTTTCAAGATATTCAATAAAAATCTTCGTTAAGAAAGCATATATATTCATTTTTGTTTAGGAAATTTATCTCAAAAATGCTTTAGTTACAGCTAGCCTCAACAGTGCGTAACTATACGCTAGTTATATGTGGATACGTACAGCTAGAACTTTTGGCTAGCAAAAAGGGCCTGTACGGCTAGCCACTGCCTTTTAACCTTTTACCCCATGAGCATATTGCGAAAAATGGCCATTTTCATTGAAAAGCCTCCTGTAACAAGTTCAAACTGCTATGAAACTATGAAAAATGCTTCAATACTAATGAAACTTGGCACAAATGTTGACTACACCATAGCCTCTGTAACAGCATGCTCAATGGTAAATTTCCTGTTACCATGGCAACGAGGAGACGTCTCAAAATTGCCAAAAATCACTATTTTGCATTGTTTTTTATCATCAAAACTGATTTCAAAGTGCTGCAACTTCTCAATGAATTGAGATAGAGTAAAAGGCTTTTCAATTTTTAGCCTGTCACATGTCCAAAATTTTCTTGGCGATGAGGGGGACTCCGCCCCCCTTCATACCCCCCAAAAAGAAGGGGGCACATCCCCATTCTGGCAACCCCCTGATGTAGTATTTGGATGGGGGACGGCGCCAAAAAAGTGGTCACTTTTTTTAACAACATTTCTCAAACAAAAAACAGTGTTGGGGGCCTAAATAGGGCATTTTTTCACTGTTTGAGGCCTCAAAAAAGTGGAGGGGGGGGAGGGGCAGGGGGCAAAAAGCCGTCGAAACACGCTTATATCAGGGAAAAGGTTAATTAGTCCAGTGATTTTTTATTTCAATTTTCAAAACAACCTGTGGCTTTCTGAAGGGGAAAATATAGCGCGATAAATCAGAAAAGGGCCCTGGGAAAATCAAATTCTAACAACTGAGAATGGTTTACCCACACATATTTTAGAATATTCAATTTCAATTCAATTAAACATCCATGATACATGCAGGGGCTATCTGTAGGGACAGTGTTTTGTCTTAAGCTGATATAAGTCAGCTGCTGTTAAGCTGTTAAGTTATGGCTCTAGTGAAAAATATGCAAAGGGCATTTTAGGGAAAATATTAGCATTTTTAGGGAAAAATATACCTATTTTGGGCTAGGGGAAACAGCCTTAATTCGGCTGTAAAATACAGAGAAAAAAATCACTGTAGTCCTTTATTGAAAGACATAGCATTTTCTTTTTTTTACAGTTTGACGTATACTGGAAAATACGATGTCTTTCCATAACTTGCTAATTTCCTATTGCACAAACTGACATCTTCTCGAGTCAATTTGAATTTACTAATAAATCACAACTTAAATGTTATATTTCACAAAAAGCAACTGTTAATTGGCATAAAAACGGAAGCATTTTTTCTCAAATACTGTTTAAATATGAAAATTTTCTCATTCATGATAAATGGTTCATTTATCCATTTATTTAAGAAGACACATGAAAGACATTTTGTGTTGACCTAGTATATTGGAAATTTCAGGTTGCGCTGTGACGTCACTAGTAAATATAATACGAAATAAGTCTGAACAAATTTTTTCCTCTTTGGATTTTAGGCGCTGAGAAAGCATGCAGAAAAAAATTTCGTCAAATAATTTGGTTATTGTAACCTTCGCCATACACGATACACACCAATATGGCAGCTGTTTATACGGATTGTTTAACTGTTAAAAGTTGAATAAGTTGTTTTTGTGAAGGAAAATACACATTTGTGGTAGGATTATGAATACCAAGCATTATTTGTAGAATTTGTAGTACCATGTTACGACTTACGTTAGAAGTTTGGAAGTGGCTAGCCGTACGGGCCAGTACGGCTAGCCAATAGTTCTAGCCGTACGCGAGTCACGGTGAAAAGCAAAAAAAAAAGGTAATAATTTTCAAATACAGTAGATAAATATCGAACATAAAAGCACAATCAATTAATTAGCCTTAATTAAAGCCTACCCAGGGACTGACATTAGAATTGTAGAATGCGTTCCACGTAACATGCAAACTTTCCTTAATGATGGACATACCTTTAACCGGCGGTATTTGACGCAATTATCACAGCCCAACAACGATTATTTTCGGTGTTTTTTTTTTTTTTCCAATTTAAAAATTAAACTTAATGAAACAAAAGAGGATTATTATCAAAATTGTGTAAACTATTTCAATTGATGTTATTTAACTGCGATTAATCTCTAAAAAGTAAACATACGAAGACAATTGCTGTTTCTTGGTTGAAATCCTTGCTTAAAGTCAAAGCTTAAAGTTAAAATAACATATGCATTTTCAACTTCCATAGAATATTAAAAAGTGCCGTACGGCTAGCCAATACAGTGTGTCCTTGTTAGTCGTACGTGACTCACGTACGGCTAGAACTTTTGGCTAGCTGTACGGGCCCGTACGGCTAGCCACTTCCTAGAAGTTTGAATGATTGTCATTTGTGCATATTCATTGTTTTTCATTTTGCTACGGACTTTTAAGTAGATATCTTTAGTCATTAAAGCGGATTTGAACAATGTAAAAAATAGCTTCTAATCTGCGGTTTACTTCTAAATATTTTTGAACTACCTCTTAGGGGGCAGGGGACCTAAAAATGAAAAATTCTGTATTTCAGTGTGACCAGAAACACAATTCCAAATATTTCATAATCTGTTTCACAGGCAGATAACCAGTTTCACAGCATTATTCAATGATATATGACATATCATTGAAGAAAATAATAGTTTGCATGCATTGCTCCTTCAAAAAATGACTGACAGCAATTTATATTTACCCCCACCCAGCCAAAATCACACCTAAAATATACCAATATGGGCAATCTTCATGAAGGTGCAGCATACTCCAGAATCCGCCCGATTCCTTTAAAAATATCAGTAACACGCAGTGCAAGCTATGGCATTTTCAGAAATGACAAATAAAGTGTCTGTCATACGTTTAGATTTTTCACAAAATTCATCTGAAATTTCTTACTTGTTTGGCGCCAACTGTCAAAGCTTGATTTTTAACTTTTTCACTTCCATTCGGAGAGTCAGAAATACATACAAAGCTACCAAAATGCTTAGTTTCGGGTAAAAACCCAAAAATACATCTCATTTACTACACACAAACAAGAAAGAATTACAATGACAGAGAAATATCAGAAGTTATCAGTACCTTGAAAACACCATGTCTGAGTTATCATTCGAATATGTCCCCTGCCCCCTTAATTAGATAATTGTGCCCTTTTAATTCAACAATCATAATTAATGGGATATTTATCCTATTTACTCATTGCTGGCAAGGTTGTGACTTACTACGGTTTACCTATATAGTAAAACCTCTATGGCTATTGAAGAATACAAACTTGGAATATGCATCACTGTCACTGTTTTTTGTTTTAAGTTTAACATCTAAATTAACGAGTGAAAACGGGATAATTTTGAAAATGAATCTGAACAAAAGCAACCTATTTTCAGAATTATTTTGTACAAATCGCAATCAAAATGAGATCTAATATCAACCAAAGAAAAGTGAACATAACACTCTTTGGAGTGATGAACGTTGCGTTTATAAATTACCTAGATATTGGTAATATTGCCTGATATTCTGCATTCAAAATTTGGGCAAAACGTACGCCATTTTTGCGCTCGGAGTTTGAAGAGTTAACAAGGGAAGTAACTTTCCAAAGCCAAAATTAATGAACCATAGTAATAAACATATCCTTTTGAAACTTGCCATATTTTGCAAAAATATTATGTTATTATTTAAATAATGTTAGCTTATTAGATTTATGTCTTTTCTCTTTGTTTTTTCTCGCAATGATTTTTGATTTTTCTCTCTCATCCTCCATTATCAGTCAATTATTACTGTAATTTTATTACATCATGGAGTTGTATGACCATTTATAATTTGCCATTTTGTAGTATTTTATTTTTACATATTATTTGCCATTTTGTATTATTTTGTATGTATGTACTGTTTTATGTTGTCACATGCCCATATGGGCCCTGACGTATTCAAATAAACCTTGAAAACCTTGTATTAGAGTTGTGGTTCATGTCTATTGTGGTGTTGGTAGTTTTCACTCCAGATCAAGACAGTAAGCCACATTGAATTCACCAGAGGACAGTTCAAACACCGCATCGTTCCTGGACAGGCTGTCAAGTAGTATACCAGTACTACATGTAGTTGCATGCCTTCACTTTCGCAAGGAACTGAAACTTCTGTACGTGCCAGAGCAAATGTACTGTGCAAATGACTATAGAAAGGAGTTCATGTTCAATCACAACGATAGTGACCTGCGCCGTCCGGGAATCGAACCCGGGTCGCCCGATTCACAGTCCAACGCTCTATCTATTGAGCTAACCGGACGGCTTAATTATTATACAGTATACTTCACTTTAAATAACTACATTTGTTTGTAAGGTAGGCTACCCACGCTCGATGGAGTGCAGGAAATTACAAGGAAAATAATCATTGAGGATAATGATGGTACAGTATACCAGTTCGAAGTACTTATAATTGTCCCAGCATAATGTACAGAGACTTAAATTTACGAGGTTCTTGCTGCCAGCAATGTGGACGAGATTAAAAATACAAGTGAATTATTAAACATCGCTGTACTTGTGCCTCATTTTTCCGTGGTACCCATATTTCCAAGGTAATAGGCATAAACAGTCTCAAGTGCCTCATATATATAGAGTTCATGCACCTGCCAAGAGTTTTACTTTCACTTTCTTGAAATGTAACAGATACAACTGAGAAAACTTATTGTTTTATTCAGATTAAGAGCAAAGTAAATTATTTCACCATTTTACTTTTATTTTTTTATACCTTTTAAGACAACTGTCTTGAGATATTTGATAAATGCCACAGAGAAAATTCCCACTTTTAGACAAGGCTAGGCATAGATGTACTAAAAAATAAAGATTGCTTTTGGTTTTGCTTTTGAAACTGTTAAAATGTAATTGCTAAGGAAATATGAGAACGCAACTTTACTCACTAGGCAAGCAGATGGGTGTCAATTGCTATGTTGTGTACATAATTGCTTACATGCAAACATTAAACGGAATAAACTATGATATAATTGACATGTCTTTCCTACATTATTCAACAGAATTTTAATCTTCTAACTTTTATTGTCTGTGTTTAACAGTTAAGTACCACGGGAATATGAGGTACCAGTATACATATTGTATCACTGTGCACTTTATATTAATCAACTGATTTAATGCACAAGTATCCCACAGCTTCTAGGAGAATTTATGATAATGTAGAGAAGCTATGATTATAGTTTAGGGATATTGGTCCAAGAATGTCATTGCAATACATCGAGAAATAAAGAGAAACGCTTATCTTAATTTGGTGTTGTAACTCTTTTTAGTGTATGAAATAATAAATTAAGAAATTACTCTCCGATAGATTTTTAATCAAGAGACTTTATCACAATCAACTCATTTAAACTTTTATTGACTTTTATTAAAAGTCTTCTCTGATGTTTGTCATGTGGTCTATATTCCTTTTATTACGAATATCGTTTTATGTATCATTTTGTCCTCATATCTTGTGTAATTGTTATTAATATGTGATATATTTCTTTACAGTCCGATATACAAGTCACCATCCTATACCATTCACATTTCATCACCTATTAATCCTAGCAATTAATTACTTATATTCTATTAACACATATTGCAAGCCGACCCAACTTCCAAGACAAACCGTCTCAAAAATGCGTACTTTAATAAATATATTTCTTTGGTTTACGCCAGATATTGTTAACTTTTATTTATTTTAATTGTCGAGGCGTTTGTTTATGTCCTTTCCTGAACATTATGTTCCATTATCCTGTATCTATCCATGGACCATTTAAATGTATTTCGGCGCTGTCTTAATTTATGCACGTTGATAAATACATTTTTTAGTTTACACAAGTGACAAAGGTTATAAGAAATTCCCCAAGCTCAAACTCAGGTCTAAGGTATTTGATTGGTCAGATAATGTCACAGAATGTACACTGACCAAAGAAAACCCTGAGATTTGAGACTGAACTCAGAAAAATGTTTTATAACCTAAAGGCCAGGAATGATTACTCTTTATTTATTTAAATTATCATGGCATTTGTTTGTTCATGTCATTAACAGGCATATACAGCCATTTTTTTTACATAGAAGGACCATGCGAATTTAAAAGTCTGTTCTAAACGTCAAGTCAGAGACTTATAGATAGCTTTGGCCTAATCTATTTAATTAAGTACACATCTATTTCTACAGCATTTACCTTGCTAAATATCTTGAATGGACTAACCCATCTGTCATAGATAAAACCATTCATCATCTTTAGGAAAAGGAATTGAAAATATAGACTGACTGAATACCAATAGTACAGACCATTAGCTATGTCCTAAAAACACAATTGTGATTTTGTGCCATATATGCAGACCATGATCAAACAGCACTGATTGACGATGCTATGGTCGCATGAGTAGTATTAGTTGCCGCCAGCAGACTAAAGTGTAAACACAACTAAAATCAATTAAAGTGGATCAGAATACTTTTATATGTACATGTATTTGGTAATATGATGGGATTAACTTATTTTTTAGTGTTTTCTTATAGTGACATAATGCCCATTCAAGTGTTAATGGTGAGTGCACAGGTAAAACACAAAATAACTTTACATTTTGCAATAATTGTGTTCAATAATATATTTTACTATGAAAACAATACCAATAATACACGTTTTCCACGGAAAATATGGTATCAAATTGTGAAATATTTAGATATTCAATAACGCTTAGTCGCCAATGTGTTTGTCCTACAAATCCTATCCCTACAAATTGTGTAAATCAGTGCTTTGAGAACCCCCCCCCCCCCCCGCTGTGTGTCATTAAGCAATTGCAGAAAAAAGGTTTAAAGGTCCGAGGGAACACCCTTCTTTCACATTTTTACTTCACATCAGCAGGTGTCAAGTGCCGCGTGTAAAAAGTTGCTCCGCACTTCACTTCAGTGTTGTTATATTTTTCTGATCCTTCCTTTTCTTGATCCCAGCATTTTAAAGTGTTGACAATTGAGTGCCGCTCAAGCCGGTGCTATGGGGTGTGAGGAATATGGCACTTATTCATTACCCCTCATGTACAGACTCGATCAAACCGAATCAACAACTTTTATATGATTTTGTTGTAATTAATGCTTCCGAGGGATCACCCTTCTTCCAGATTTTTAAAGAAGCCACCATGAAGCACTATTGTCCATGGACATGTCCTTGAAAACAGCATGATGCTACAGTAAAATTTTGAAACAAGTACATCATAGATGTAGGTATTCCCCAGTTTGATATATTTTTTGTCAGTATTATATTATTTTTTCAGGTTTATCATTAGAGTGACATATTATGCTCATATGTTTGCTTTCATATCGACTGAATTAGTAATACATTTCAAAAGATTGACTCTTATTATTATGATTGATTAAATAGAGGATATTCAAGTTTCTTCTATAAATACAGGATTTATTTTCATCGAGTGGTATGAAAATAAATATTTCACGTGTGTCAGTAGCCACGAGTTTGTTAATTTTCATATCACAAGGTGAAAAGAAATCCTGTATTTATGGAAAAAACTTGAATTTTCTGTTTATTATATACCTTTTTCCTCATTTAGCCTATGAATAGGAAGAGTTCCCTTTTAGTTTTGTTTATTAGCTGAATTTAGAAGAAAGTATTCCGGCAAGACACCAGTGAAAATACGGAAAATACCAGGTAAAAATAAATTTTTACAGTGAAAATACGGAAAATAAAAATACGCATTTTATTTCATCAATATTTCTCAATATTTCATTCATAAGTATATAATAAATTTCAATCTTACATGCAAAACAAACAAATATCCTCTATATGCTAAATACTAAACATGTTTAGAATGAAATATTAAAACTACATAATTAATAAAAAGTCTGCCGAAAAAAAATATCTGCAAACAAAATGCTTCTTCGGAAGCATTAATCACAACAAAATTACAAGAGAACTGCAGACTCGGTTTGATTGAGTTTATACTCTTTTTTCATAAATTGAACGCCACAGCTACATTTTGAATGTTATTTATACTATTAGGTGCATAACAGGGGTTAACGACTCATAAAAACAAAAAAGATAAATTCCAATGTTTAATTTATCATTACACGAAATGTTTATTTCATTTGTGAGAATGCCATACAAAAAATGCTCAAAATAATAGAAAAAGGTAAAACACATGTATTCATAGAAAACATTTCATGAACAATAACATTTTAGATCTAGGATTAAAAGATACAGCTGTCAAAAGGAATTGCGTAATATTTACATATATCGTATATAACCAAGAAATCAGTATAAAACGGTTGCATTGTATAATAATCATAAAAAGGAAAGTCAGAAAAACAAACCCCCTAGTTGTGGAGTTCACATTACGTTCACATTACAACACGTTTCTCTTCCATCTTTTTAAGCTTTCACTAATTGGCAACTTCTAAAGTGACATTAAAATCGCCTACAGTGTGTGTTATGAGGCTACCTTTACTTAGTCTGCTAGTTTTAGATTTTGATGACATTTTTCTTTCTTTAGTAACTTTTGCAACTAGCATTTTTTCTTCTTTCTCATCTATATCTCCAAACATTTCTTTTTCGTCTCTTACTTCATCTCCATCCACAGCCTGCCAGAATCGTTTGATTTTCCTTTTCTCTCTTTCTATTTGCTCACTGTTATCTATTTTCTTATCTACAACATTGATTTCAAGTTTTAGTTTATCTCTTATTGTAACTTCATCTGCCTTCGGAGTTTTCCTTGCTCTTCGTTGTTCGTTGAAACGATCAAGTAATTCTTTATCAACTTTCTTACTACTTTTCCATTCTATTGTTTTTGTCACTTTTGGAATTTCATCAGAATGCCTCGGCGTACTATTATAGCTCTGAATAAAGTGGGCCCTCCCTGTACGCTGCTCATTCCTCTGTTTGTAATTAGAAATAAATGAAGAATTCTGCAGACCCTTCTCTTTATTAGTGCTCAGTTTCTTGGCCCTCTTCCGGGATATTTCCTCATACGATGCTTGTTTCTTTTTATCGTGTTCTGCATCAAAATGTTTATCGTAATTTGTCGCTGCATGTAATGACTCTGCGGCAAATCCATTAGTCATAGCAATGTCATCATCAAATTTCTCTGGAGAAATGAGTGACTTTGAAATGTCACCACTGTTAATGTCCTGACGTATGTTTTTCGATTTACTGGTCTTATGTGTGTCCATTTCCTCTTCATCTTGGTCTATTTTAGGCGTTCCATGATAAGGCTTTAAATGACTCTTAGGAGTAGAAGATAGTTGAAAGTTTTCTTCACTATTCCCATCCTTGTCAGGCGATTTAAGTTCCGGAAATCTGTCTGATGTCATTGGCCCACTGTTTCGGCTATTACTTGGGCGACGATCTTGTAGTCTATCCCTTTCTGAACTCATACCTTCACCAGTGCTTGTCAATTTCTTTTCATTTAGTTTTTCTTCAAACTCCTTAGCAAGGAAGTCCATATCCATCATGTACTGGTCTTCGCGGTCAATATCGTTTAGATATCTTTCACGTCTTTTCTTATTTACTTTTTGCAAACCTTTTTGATGTTCAGATCTACTTGTATTAATTTTCAAGTGACTTTTATCACCATGATTTATCTCATTTACATTAGTTCTATTAAAACTTTCAAACCTTTCATTGACATCATCTGTATGAGGTTTAGATTTATATCTGTCATTGGTATTTCGAGTGAAATACCTCTTGTTTCCTTGATCGTCTGTGTTTTCTATATTATGTTTTGTACTTAACGCAGTTTCCCCATCGTCTAACTGCTTTTGTTTTGTGAGTTTTTCTCTTTCCTCTTTAAATGTCTGAAACACCTCATCAGCAATCTTTTTCTTCCAGATATCATCACTGCTTTGTGTTTTCCTTAGATTCAATTGCTCTTCTCGGTGAGAAATTTCAGCATATTTTTGTTTCTTTTCAAAAATTGTCTTATATGAATCAGCTTTTGATTTTAGGAAAATGAAATCAGAGGACCTCTGAATAATCCTGTGTTTTTTTCTTAGCTGTTTCTTTGCATGTTCAGCCTTTCTGTCTGTCAAACGTGCTTTAGCCTTTTTAAGCAACAGATCCTTGTCTAATGGCGTAAGCTCATGGTGTCGTTTAAGCTCTTTCGAGAGTTCATCATTTTCTTTTTCATTTTCTTTATTTTTCCAAGCACCTTGAACCAGACGATTATGTTTTTCCAAATTATTCTTAGAAAGGTACGGGACATTCTTTTTACTGTCTGAAACGTATTCGAATGGTTTCTTATGAGTTTTGGAAGTGTCATTTGTTGTCTGGACTGGTTCTTTCTTCCTATCTAAAATTACTTTGTCACCATTCTCTACAATATTTTCTTTTATCTTTTCATGATTTGAGTCTTTGGCATTTACAGTTCTGTTTGTTTTCTTATTTGTTTCCTCACTAGGGATATCTTTTAACTCCTCTTTCCTATCCTCATTGGCTTTGTTTGTAGTTGTTTTTCCCATTGATTTATTGCTGCTCCCTTTTGAACGCACGCTCCTGGCCGAAAGTCTGTCTGGAGTCCCACGAATTCTTCCAGACTTCGTTAATACATCTTGCCTTGATGGAACATTTGGCTCATTTTCAACTCTAAAAGTAAAGGTGTATCAATGATAAAGTTGTCATTACTGATCTATATAATTTTTTCTTTCCTCTCATTAATGATTGCCCATTTAATCTCACTTCAATATTACATAAGTGTTGTAGCTACAAATTTTGTAGCTTTAATCTATTGAAATGACAATAAATAAATTGCTTTACAATTCTCTCTATAAAACATAAGAATGGATTTGATTAAGAACACGCCTGCTTTGTAGATTTCTTCAATAAAAGCACCACTGTAAACCTAGAACAATTATCATTGTACGTTAACTCAAATAAAATGAAAGTGATCGAGTCAATAAACAATTATGTACCTGAGTTTTGTGTGCGCACGTGTTCTCAGTGCTTGGTTCAGATATTGAGTCATCACGTGATTAGTATTGACCAGATGTAGTTCCTTTAATTTCAGACTTCTGCCGAGGGTTAGACATAACTCTATGATATTATCAATAAGCTGCAAACTACACTGTTCTATCTCAAGTCGTTCTCTGAGTCTTCCTGGAATACATAAGAATATCTCATCAGCAAGAATATTAATGTGAATATTGTCATTGTCGTAAAAGATATAATGTAATTAAAATTGCACAGTTATCATAATGATGTGATCAAATAAATCTTGTCATAATTTATCATCAAAATATCAAGAGGGTTACTCCTTATTTAGCAGTTGTTAGTTAAATATCAATGAATTATTCAGATGCACTTGAAAAAAGTTACCAAACATTACACAAATACATCAAAAGTTTGTTAGTTCGCACCAAAACATTTCATATATAATTGTGGTAATTCGAAAAACAAAGAATACATTTGTGCTGAAATGTCATTCAATATCCATTTGTTGATACATATAATTATGAAAGTACATATAACGGTACAACTTGATAGCTCATGTAAGACGATTGGCATCTCAAGATACGAGTACTCTGACAATGCATGTTTATCAAATATGTATTTAAGGCTTTAGTTTAGGTTTAGTAGTGTTTTGTTATCACCTTAGTTTAGTTTATTCGAATTCGTTGTATTTCGTTTTAGTCCGATTGTGTTGAAAGCTATATAAGTTTATTGAAACACTATCGAAACCGGTCCTTGAACCAACCAGTACTTAACAATCAGTGTAAACTTTCTTGCTCAAGGAAACAATATATTTCTCATAACGGTGCTTGAACCCACGCTGCATGGTCGTCGGACTAGTCATCTAACGACTGTGATCACTATGTTAGCATTGTACGAACTTACCTGTACCGATAAGTGGCATTGCAAGTACCCTTACTCTGTGCTGATTGGCTTCATAGAATACTTGTGTATTTATGTTGTCTAGCCGGGATATGTTGTTCTGATTAATATGATGAATGGGTGCGGCTATAACACTATGAATTATTTTGCGCATGCCCAGGTCACCGGCGTCACTGATTAAAACATCACCTTCAACAAGAGACCGATTTCCTCTGAAAAAATATATTTTGTATGTAAGCGATTGATTGATTTATTGATTGATTGATCGTGTAAAAATGTATGCTGGAAAAATATTAAGTATTTTGTTAATAAATATCAAGACATGTTCGTCATCTTTTAGACTGTTTATATAATTTATATACACTGTATTTTATATATAATTATGTCTATAGAACAACAGACTCTAAGCATGGCGCTAGTATATTGTTTCAGACTTTCAACGGAGGCATTGACCAGCCGATAACGCGCTAAGAATTCGACCGGAGAAATACGATTCACGAGCTCTTTAAAGGGATTTTACTACGACTACTTTCTTACATTTAAACAACATGTTCTAGATGTAAAGGTGAAGAATTTCATCTACAGTCCTGTATTTGTTTTAAAGAATATTTGAAATACTTTGTGTATATTGTAAATTGTATCATATATATATATTCTGAGAAATAAAATATCTTTAAACTAACATGTTCTATAGCAGTAAGTGCATAATATGACCGAGTTTTAAGAAAAGCATAATGTTCAGTACAACATAGTTCTTAACTCTGTTTTTGTTGTCGCACAAATGAGTTTAGTTGGCTAGTACATATATAGTAAAAACATTAATTCTTTTAAGAACATAGTAATACTATTTTTTCAGTTAGATTTTTATTTAGTTTATATATTCGAAAATGTGAGATTTGCACTAAGAAATGATATCTTAAATGCTAAGTAGCATTGATCAACGAGCATGGCTTTGAGCTATCCAATTATGATGTTTATTGAACTGGCTTTTCGTTCAACATTGTAGCTTGACTGGTTCTATACAAAATCTGGGCAGCGTGTGATTCATCGGAAGCAGAGAATATGAAAATTGCAGACTCGGTTGAATTGAGTTTGTCCATAAGAGATTATGTAATACTGTAAAGCTAACATGCCTCCTATCACTGGCTCACTTAGACTACACGGACGTGCAGGCTGGCCTGATTTTGTAAGACTACACGGATGTGCCGGCTGGCCTGGCTCTGTAAAACTTCACGAATGTGCAGGCTTGCTTGGTTCAGGCAAATCACGCTCGGTTCCAACATTGTAGGTGTTAACGATCCAGGTTGCTAATATTTCACCTATACACAGTTAATTATATCTAATTATGCAAATTTCCTTTCTGTTCACACTAGAAAAGAGTGAAACCGAATTGTAGAATGTATACAGTTTATTGAGTCTAAAAAGTTTACGTAGTAATTCAAATAAATCAAGTTTCATTTCGCCGACAATGTAAAACGCGGAAGTATAAAACCGGGTTTATGTTTTTATTGTATCTAAGAGGGAATAATCAATACTTTAAAATGCTTTAAACATTTGAAAATCGATCGTCGCGTTCAAACATATGAATGTAAACTTGTAGATAGTATTAAATTGTATATCATACTTTGAAGTTAACTGTTCATGTATGAATATATATAGTTTAATAGTCGTGGTGCTTAACAGGAATTTTAACGCGTGAGGAAGTGAATGATATTAAGGTAATGTTTTTAATATGTTATCCGAATATGGTCGTAATAATTATATACACTTAAAAGTATTTAACTATTAATAGTAAAAATATCTTTATTCCAATAAGATAACACATGAAATAAAAACAAATAATATATCTAGCTTAATTTCAAATGTGGCATTCTGAATAATATATACAGATATAGAAACACGCATAAAACAATAACTATAACTAATAACTAATAACATAATCAAACAACAACTATTCCATTGAGTCAATTAAGATTTGGCCCTACAACAAACATAATTTGATTAGTTGGACAAACAGTCCTTTTTGAATATAAAATATCATTTATACAATTTTTCAGTTACAAATATAGTTTAACAAATATAAATGCATAAGTATCATAACGTAATGGCAAAGTTATGATATAATTTTCCAAATCTTTGCAGCATTGTAACAAAAATCTTTTTAGCATAGTTTATGGGGTGTATGGGTATATGTCATTATGTTATGATAAGCTAAAATATACTGACAAATACGATTACATATCTTCGTGTATAACCTTCTTTAAATTATAATGATTTTGTTGACATGTAATTAGCAATAGTGGAATATGGGGGATCTTTATGTATTGATATATGTATCATCAAGTGAAACTGGCTCATAAAACGGTCGAGGGTTTCGAACCCGTACTATGCTTTGATCACTAATCGTGTCTTATGCACTTTGGCAATCACATCTCATTAAAATTGTGAGCGGGGAGAAGTTGGTATAAAACTGTGGATAATAGAGCGCTAGAGTCTAAGAAACTAGACGCTAAAACGTAAATATAATTTATGAATTATTTATAAGATAATAAAACAGCTGATTATTTTGAAATGAGAGGTACATTTGTATATGACAGATAAAGAATCTGGCCAGAAATGAAACCCAAGGTATATAGGCTATCTGTCTTAAAATACATGTGTAACCTGACTTTTCTAATCTAATGAAGCTTTCTGTATACAAGTATATAATAACAGTTTGTAAGACGAAAGTTGCTGAAAGTACAAGTACATAATTTTGATATTAAATCACATCATATTCAGAAAATAGGACAATGATTGAAGTCACCGGCAACAGACGTATTTCTATACACTTTCTTAATATCTTCCTTTGTATTTTTTGACAAGTATTGGGTACATAAAACTACGGTGTACCGTTAGGGCCAACGCGACACACAACGAAAACACGAAAATACAATGGTGAAAAGTCGAAATAACGAACCCATGATGGTGAAAATAACGAAACAACAACAGTAAAAGGTCGAACGTATGTTCGTGAAACGCGAAATTATATCGAGTTTTCATCATTGTGGTTTCGTTATTTCGACTTTTCAACATCGTACCTTCGACTTTTTACAATCGTGGTTTTGTTATTTCGACTTTACACCAACATATTTTCGTGTTTTCGTTGTTTCGACTTATGTGTTTGTCGCGATGGCCCCAACGGGACACCGTATAACACAGATCCCGTCATGCTTTTGAATTAATTAAGTATGCCAGGTGTCGAAGAGATCAACCTTTGTCCCATTTTTGATTGCATGGGGTGTTACTGTGATTTTATAATTTTCTATAACACTTTTAGATAAATTCACGATAAGGAAGTTTAACAGGCTATCAAAAATTAAAAGCTTTTGAAAAATTAAAGTACAGTCGGCATCGTACTTGCGTCCACCTTTATTAAGCGACATTTTTATTAAGCGGCCACATAAAATCCCTCCCGATGATTTTTACTATATAAATTAATTCCATTAAACGACGATTTTATATCGCGGCCAGCGGCCACTAAATGTCGGCCCAAATGTACAAAATTCAGTGTTAAAGTATCTATTAAACGGCCGTGACAAACAATCGTCCCTACGGACATTCTCACCTGTGTAATTAGCGAGTAGGTTTGAACAAACAAATATTTTTCATGGTCATTGGTCTTAAAGTATCTATTACAACAACAACAACAACAACAACAATTTATTTCAGCATTAAGTAATATACATTTACTTCTAGCCTACAATAATATAATAATGTGTAGTGATAGGTCATATAAAGATAACATAAGTGTTATTATTTAAACAAAAGAGCTTTTGGTTAGTTACACGAGATTATTGGTTCATTTTAAATAGATGATTACTACTGTTCTAATTCTGTTCTCCGTTTGTTAGCAAAATATAGATATTTAGATAAATTGATAATTTCTTTCTTATTTTGAGACATCATTAACTTATCAAATTTTTGCAATGTTGGCCATGTAAAATAATAAGGCTTCAAAAATTTGTGTCTTAAATCTATATATATCGGGCAAGTAAGTAGAAAATGGTACTCATTTTCAACGAGTAAAGAACGACAAAATTTGCAAGTTCTTTCTAATCTTGGAATATTATAGTATCTTCCCCTCTCAATTTCAAGATTGTGTGATGATAGACGAAATCTACTAACGACTTTCTAAACTGTAATAATCAAGATAAGGTTCGATCGAAAATGAACATTTTGTCCTTCAATATGTTAAAAGTCTTTGAGAGTTATTCATTTCTGAAAACCAGGTTTATTCTTTGTTTTATAAATTCGAAAACAGAAACATTTTGATACTTATGTAAATCGTTTCATATATCTGAAAGACCCACATTGTTTAATATTGTTTTAATTTGATATGCCTAGTTTTTGGCCATTATAAGTTATATTGTTGTTTGCATCTAGTTTAAGCATATTATACATTTGTTTTATACATTTGTTGTCTTCTAATTTTTGAATTTTTAACCAATACCTAATCATTTTTATTTGTCTTACAATTTTAATTGGTTCTCTACCAGGTTTTCCATATAATCCTGTCAGATTTGTTGATATATTAACAACTAGGATTTTTCTGCAAAATTTAGTGTGAATCTTTTCAATATCACTACCTTCAATATTTCCCCATACCTCCGAACAGTAATTAAGAATTTGATGCTACTAATGAGTCAAATAATTTACATTTTTCACTAGTTTTGAATTCATATTGATGAAGAATAGCAAACAGTCTATAAAGTGCTTTCGATGCATGTTCTGCTATGCTTTTTTGTGTTCGTGACCAATTTCCATTTTTAAAAAGGTATATACCCAAATATTTAAAAGACGTTACTATTTCAAGTTTTTTGCCATAAAGATGAAAATCAAAATGTGTAGGTCTGCCTCTTTCGAAAATCATAACTTTGGTTTTATCTATGTTTATTTTAAGTCCAAAGGTATTACAGTATATTTCGATGTCCTTAAGCATGCTTTGTAAGGTGTCGGGATTTGTAGCAAATAATACTTGGTCATCAGCATATAAAATCAAAAATAGACTAAGCTCATTTAAGGTGAAAATCCCATCAAGGTCTGCATTTATATTACTCATTAGATCATTTACGAACATCATGAACAATAGAGAAGAACTGGGGTCTCCCTGCTTAACGCCTTGATGAGAGTTTATAACATCATTATGTACTACCCCATTATATTTAATAGATGCTCGTACTACAGTGTACATTGCTTTTATAGCTTTTACCATTTTAGTACTCACATTTTCTGTTATAAGTTTTTGCCAAAGAAAAGAACGATTAATTTTGTCGAAACATTTTTCATAATCAATAAATATGGAGTACAGCTTTTTACCCGAATATATGACTTTTGAAATAATTGAGTGTAAAAGGAATATACAATCAACTGTGCTCTTACCCTTTTGGAAGCCAAATTGACTATTTACAAGTTTTTCATGTTTTTCAGTCCATATTGTTAGCCGATTAAGTAGAACCTGAGAATAAATCTTAGATAAAATATTGTTAAGTGTTATACCACGGTAATTTTTTTGCTAGTTTTGGGTCACCCCCTTTAAACGGCCGTCAATTAGACCGTCACAAATAATTGTCGTTTAAAAACGAATTGAATAACAATTGCAATCGTTTTAAAATCGGAAAGAAAGAAACAGTTTTCCGATAGTAATATTTATTGTGACATATTTTGTCAGAGCAATAACGTATCACAACACCGCATTGGCACAGTTTTGTCATGTGCTCAGAGTGACCTCCCTTCAAAAAGAAAAATCGTCGGAACGAGCGAAAAAATGACATATCCAATGATACCGGATAAATTGAATGAGGAAATCGTGCAGGGAATTGAGTCTGAGTAAATAGCAAATGCCATCGTTTGTAGTCGAAATAAAATCGTGAAACGTAGTGGACTAAACATTACAGAACCGAGCCTTTCATTGCTGATGGTGTAGGTGCTCATCTGATGCTTTATAAAAAAACATGTAGTACCCCATTAAATATGACACTTCGACAAAAAAAAAAATAATAAAATAAAATAAAAATAATGATAAAACTTTAATTTTTTGAAATCGGGGTAGTGTGAAAACTAATTGCTGAAAAAATCAAGACGTTTAAAACTCATTGCGATGATTTGAAAGTATGTTCAGCAGGAGATGTGTATGAACATATTAATAATATATGATAATATGCTTTGTTTCAAGGTCAAAATGACCTGTTAATAGTATTATGAGCGTAGATCACATTTGTACATAAATTTCTACTTAAAAAAACCCAAACACATATTGATGACTTTTTTAAACGAAAGGCATAAATGTAATTATGAAACTGTAATACAAATAAATAATATTGTACAATTTTTGTTTTTATATTATATCTATGACTTGTAACATAAAAAAGTCTCGAATTTTCCAGAATTCTATTGAGAGACCACTTTATTAAGAGGCCACTTTTTGGCAGACCCTTGAGTGGTCTCTTAATACAATGTCGACTGTATTTCCATTTTTAAGCTAAATGGCCACTTAAATATGCATGTATAAAGCTATATATTTCCTGCCTATGGATTGTCAGATATTAGTCAGTACATTTTATTGAAAGCAGGACGAAAATTTTCTTTCTGTTTTAATTTTGTCTTATTTTCTTATAATTATGTCAACATATTTAATCTGGGATGTATAAATTTTATTAAATCATTTGTTTAGCCTAAATATGTACCGATTTCTAGCAATAGAATAAACTTTTAGTTTCCAGTTCAATCCACTTTATCATAATATTGTATAAGTTTTCTGTATGTTGTGTTGCATTGTAATTTGATAAAAAATATGTTTAAACCAAGGAGGGGCGGGAATATTTCGGTGAACTTGATTGTGCTTACGTACAATGTTCATGTATATACAGTATATTAAATTACATAGACAATCTATGTTACAAATCTTTTAAGATATGAATATAACTTTAATGTTGTAAATTTATTTAGAAAATATTTCATTAGATGTAGCTTTATATACTTTATATATTACATAATTATCGTATTTTATCACACAAATTTAATCTGATTTTATCATAAATACTATACCTTGCATTTTTCAGGGATATTTTGTAGGCTCTACCACCTAAAGCCTGTATCTGTTTGGCCAAAGAACCCTTCATATTGATGTCTACAGCACACACGATCGCCTCAACACTGTTCTCCAACTTCAAAACAGAGCCTAGAAAATCATGAAAAACATCAGGTCAGTTCCCAGTGTATCTAATAACTTGACTGTCCTGTCATGTTAAACTATTTTATTTATAGTGTTTGATATTTAAGGTAAAGAAAAAAAAGAAACAAGATTATCATCACAAATAGGTCACAACAATGGTAAATAGCCTATATTGACACTTAGTTCAGGTCGCTGACTTCGGACCATTGGTCACCAATAGCTTTTGGTTCGAACCCGGCTAGGCACTTTGGATACCTTATCGTGAAGTCGTATCCAGCTAGCGCACTGCGAAGGTTGGTGGTTTTACTCAAGTACCCACTCGTGCCTGAAATGGGGAAGTACTTCAGGTCTTCCTTCGTAAGGAATGCTAGAAATTCTTAATATGATATAAACAATGTCTATTGCAAAGAAATAATTTACTTGTAAGTTAGTATTTAATCTAATAAATGAAATTGGATCCCTTTCCCATCCAAGTTAATAGAATGCAGCAGGACAATTTCAAAGTATACTGGTATACTGGGGTATTTTTATTTAAGATGCTGGTTTATTTTAATTAGACCAAGCATTTTGAATTCTGCTTGTGGAGATGATATGATACGAAAATGTCCGAATAGGTATCAGCAAATCAATGTGAGTGAGTTTATTTAAGCTGCACCTCTGCAGTTGAGAACAATTTATGTCTTTAAAATTTATCTTAAAAAAATCAAATATAATACAAACATATTCGTTTTATATTTTTAAATTAACAAGTACAAGTTTTGTCACTTCTTCCCGATATTTTCTGTCGGAAGTAAGTGCCTTTAACTGTAGCAACACAAATCTGGAGGCGTGCTTCTTTAAGCTTATATGGAGGTTGAACAATATGCTTTCATTCTAGGTTTGATCTATTTACTTTCCTTATGGCGTGTTCTTTAAATAAGGTTGGAAATTTATGTTTTCAAACGAAACAGAAACGGTGTCGGCTTATCAATATCTAAGATATCATTTATTGGATGTTCGATGCCATTGTGAAATTTAATACGAATATATTGGATTTCGCATTTGCAATCTATACATTAACCTCACTTTGTATGAATGAATACAATGATGACCGCAGAATGCAGCAGACAATAGAAACTAATCATTATTTTCCTAGTTTTTTTTCTATTGCAGTATATAACCATTTCGTTTTTTCTTTATTATAAACACGTTTTAATAAAATGAAAATTGTTTTTTTATTTCATTTATTTATATCATATTAATTATCATTATTTGTTGCTTAATAGGATCGTGCGATAAATATAACCTTACATTCATTATCTGTTCATATAGACCTACATCAAAATTGGCCACCGAGCTAGGTCTCTTTAAATCTAGTAAGTTAGTATAGAATGATAACTCATGTTTGATCTTATATATGTTTATCTCGAGTGAGTAATAATCAGATTTAAGATTACATAGACAGTGTGAAGTCTTTGCAAGCTTTTAAAACAACCGCCAAGTAATATTATGCATAATATACAACATATAACAAATTTACTGATATAAAGCTCGTGACGAGCGCGTTTAAACTGACAGGGTAATTGCATTAAATAATGTAATCGATACTCGCCCATGCACTTAAATATTGTTAATCAAAGGGATTTCGATAATCAGTAATTATTACTTCTAGCCAGGGTCTTTCAAATAGATTTTGATCCTGTACTAGCATATAATTTAAAGTATGGTCGGGTAGTACCGACATGCCCAGCTTCGCAATAAATGGGATAGTAGGTGCTATGGTGTTACGAATGAAAGCATGCAGGTAAATGTTGTAATCGCACACAAATAAAACATCTGCATTATTCTAAAGAAAATATACATATTGTTTAATGAAATTATGTAATATTTTTAGAAAATGAAGTAAAACATTTCTTTTAAAACACAAGTTATATTATAAGAGGGTATTTGTTGGCCAAAAGGTATCTTTAATACAAGACATTTGACAACATTTTTATTTCTGTCAATAGAAACTTACCGGTATAGACATGGACTGCCAGCTTTTTCAGTACATCAAAGGTCCACTTTTGTTCCCCATCTTTGGTATACGACTGACCAACAAAAGTAACCATGTTCTCACTACGGTGTGTGGGCATGGAGCCGAGACTGACCGCACTCTGGGAACGCTTGGACATCTCGTTTACGTCATTAATCATAGGGTCACTTTCAACTGAATTATAGAAAAAAAAAACCCACACAAAATAACTTATTACCTTGCAGTGAATTGTAACCAATCAAGTTAAAAGGAGAGCGGGGGCCTAATGGTTAAGGTTCAAGTCTCCCAACCCAGGGATAGTTGGTTTGAGCCCTACTAGGGACACGACATGTAAGTTCTAGGAATCGAGATTCGAGTGTGGTTCCAAATAAGCTACGAGTTTTCTTTACAATCAAGATAGAGGTAAAATATATATAATCAATTATAGTGTGAGTTTTAACTGTCGTCTGCCCCTGAGGCTGTTTCGAGTCAATACCGTGTTTTTTTATTTTGGCGCTAAAATAGCGGAGGTTTTATTATCTAACTGTCCCCGCAAGGCGACGACTTAAGAGGTGTTTTGATGTTCCCCCGGGATTGGGGATGGGGACTGGGTTACAATTCACTGGCACATAAGGATTTCCCAAATTTCATCCTATCTCATCTGCATCTAATTAAAATTACTTGCCACGTAAATGCATTTTCTTTTCAAGTGTTTTCATTATTGAAATTAATTGTTTTAGACAATATTGTTTAAATACAGCAACAACAACAACACCAACAATACCATTTACTTTACGATGACCAGAAGATGCGGATATCTCTAACATTTAAACAGAATATAATGCAGTACAATCCTTGTTTGAAACAAGATATATCTACTGTAAACTTCAATATATTATTAAATTGAAACATAAAACTGTAAACTTTAATATATTATTAAATTGAAACATAAAATAAACTCTGTTCTCATGTCAACACGTTTAGTTTATCGGTATACACATCTTTTATCTTGGCTAGAAATGAATGAAATATTATACTTATAAGCTTATTAAGGATATGAATTAAGAATGCACGAAATATCATACTTTTTGTTATGTGGTGAGTCATGTCAGCAACACCAGGACTGGATGCCCAGCTCTCGTAAGCATCTTTGATATAGGTGAGCATGTTGGGATCTGAGTCTACAAGATGTATCTCTAGTACTGGGTACATGGGGCCCATACCCATACTGTAATCTATTAACGCCTTCACGTATACTTCAGCCACCAGATCCTTTGGTATCCCGAAATACGATTCTGTGATATGTTTGAGGGTAACGGTTTTAACATTTATAATGTCGTCATTACTAAGTATAGAATTATTGCCTGAATTATTTCTTTTTTTAATTTGAGTAAATCAATAACATAAAAAATGATTAACTGCTCGATTTTGGAAATTCGTAAATCGGCATGAAATGAATAAAGATACATGTATATTGAATGGATGAATGGATATTGAATAATTTAAGTAATGATACACTTGCCAGGCTCTGTCAAAATTGATTTAAATATTATTACACATACCTGATCCTATCGTTGGAATACCAATCCTCCTATACTTATGCGTCTCAGCCGTTTTCAGAGTATCGTAGAGAGCCTTATGTAGGTCAGTAGCACAGTCTTCCCAAACGGTATATTTCTTCCAGACTGGAGACACCACATGTATTAAACCTAACGCCGGAAGTCGACCTGCTGAGGTAACAACGTTTTCACCCATTCTGGCCTCCCCATGTAATCGCAAATGGACATCAAGCTCGTCTAGGATCTTCTTGCCAGCTTCTGTGAAAATGTCAGTAGCAATTTGATCTCCTTCTGTAAGATTTGAAGAGACTACATTGACAAGGGCATCCATGTTGGTCAATTTTGATATGTTTTTCTTGTACATGAATATATCTAAACCATTCACGTTAATATTATACCGTATATTTGACGCTGGTTTCTTTGCCTTTAACACCGGACGTTTCTGTCGCGTGGATGCATTAACGTTCGTTTTCCTAGCCGTCGGCTTTTCACCCGGTCGAATTCCTTTATTTCCCTTTCTGGTAGCAGGAGCTTGTCGTGGATCTGTGACGCTCGTTAACACGGATTTCGAATGATGTGTAGGTTTATATCTTTCATTTTCTACCAAGTTCTTCTCCGGATGAACAATTAGTTTACCACCAGGTTTTGTCCCGTTATGAATATTCATTTGTGACGATTGTTGGTCTTGAACCTTTGGATCATCTACTTCGCGATGAAGATAAATACGATTTGGTATAGGATGGCCGTAGTGTTTTGTAGGATAAAGGTTTGTGTCTTCTTCTTTGATCCATTTTGCTTCCCCTATTGGTAAATTTGTTGAATCTAGAGGTCCGCCCATATTAAAGCCCTCAATGAACTCTGCATTTGCAATGAATGGATTAGTCACAACATGTTCAGCATCACCGTTAGTATTGCTCACATTTTCTTCTTGGGTTGGATCTCTTTGTATAGGATAAACAAAATCTGGAGGTCTAGGGAAGTTTGGATTATCAGCACGTGTTTGACGGGAGCTTATGCTTTTATTAGAAGCTTTCGATTTGCTCGTCAATCTTGATCTAGATGTACTTAAATTAAACGTTGTTTGAACAGTTGGCTTCGATTTTAATTCTTGTTTGTCCGATCTTACCATCATAAAACTGTCTTTTTGGGTTGGACCTGACATTTCACTTGCTAACTCGGACGCCGGGTGTCCATAAAATGATGCCGACCTGATAGAGTTTGCTTTAGCTACAGTTTGTGTGAACTCATTTTCTCTGGCAAGTATTCCAACATGAAGAACCCACTCTTTCCTTGCACGAATGACATCCAACTGATCTCTTGCAAATATCCATACACGTACTTTATTATCTGGATATTCTTTCAAAGCGTAAAGCACCTTGTTATCATCTATCTTTGATCTCGCGAACTCTCGTGCTTTCATGGAATCTGACTTAGGAATGAAGAAGTCATCTTGACAAATTCTTCCAAGCTCTTTTGAAATTCTTCTCACGTCGCCCTTTACTTGATGGTAAACTGAGAAGTGACAATAAAGTTCAACGTATTCTGGATTTCGTTTCGTCGGAACAGCCTTAATGTTAACAGATGGGATTAATTTCAGCTTAGATATGTCCTCAGCAAACAAGTGATCAAACTTCTTGGCAAAGTCTCCATGGAAACGCCATATTATGGTAGATCTGTTAGGATATCCGACTTGACAAGTTATACCTGTGTCGGGAAACTCGTCATCCTCAACCCAAAACCTCAGGGTCTCTACAGCTAGTCCTAATATTTCTGTATCCGGTCCGATAAGATCAAGAGTTTCCCTACTTTTGTCAAACTGGTACCTCAGACCAAGGTCTTGTACGATTTTTGTTCCAACCTCATTAATTCCGCCCTGAAGCCGACGGAATTTGTCAACGAGAACTGGATCAACACGCAGTCGTGCTTCGCTTTCTTTCCCGCCTTTCTTAGTCATTATGAAATATGAAATACTCTGAGGTGACTTATTTCTCTATGGATTTGTATCCATTGCTGAAATTGCTGAAAAAACACGTAAAGTTAAAAGTTTTCAATGCTGAAAATGAGCATTGTGGCTGATATCTGTCCATTTTTAAAGCCTCTTGAAGTATATATAGCGTCAAAAATCTTAAGGATAAGTAAAGGCGTCTGTTTCTCGCCATGAGAGTAAGATGTAAGAGGAAGCAACGTGATAAATGAAAGTTAAAGGAAAATAGATGTATTCAAACAAGGGTTGTTATACTTGTTTGCTCATATATTTGTATTAACTTCAAAATATTTGTTTTTCCATTTAAACACAAATTTTATTTTAGAAAACATTCATTCATTCATTCATTCATTCATTCATTAATTCATTCATTCCTTCGCTAAAATAGGGCAAGACATCGAATATATTCCAATTGCAAAATCCCTTAAATTTTGAATCCGAATAACTTTCTCCACAAACTATCAGTTTACAATCCATCTCTATCTTTGCACGTTGTTTTAAGTTATCAATATTATATAGTTGTAAGCTTAGGTAACTTACGATATCATTAGCTGGCATTGGTGAAAAAGTGAAAGGGCACAATAGAGAGAAATGCACATTTTTTTCTGATTTCTATTACAAAAAAATGAAAATGCGATAAAACAGAAAACTGTTTTGGTATAAGAAACTCGTTAGTTACGGGGGTATAACACTGGCTGGGGCGACATCTCGGGATGTTTCTGCAAAAAAAATGTCTCGGCCTCACGGCCTCGACATCTTTTAGCAGAAAAAACCCTTAATGTCGCCCCAGCCAGTGTTATATCCTCGTAACTACCTCGTTTCATATACTATAACTATTACAATTTTTTTAAAAAAATCATGCGGGATTAGTAGTGGGTCGGTTACGGAGAAATGGTTATTACTGGCTAGTTACCCTGGAAAGCCGGTTAAGTGTATAGACCGCAGAAATATGACTACTGTGTGAAAGCGGCGTAAAACAACAACAGAAAGCAAAAGAAACCAGCATTTTGCAAGCTTTCAAAAATTAATGATATAACTTCGGTTCTTTTAAAAATTACCACGAAGTATTGTAGTTATATGATGCATTTAATCCCCCCCCCCCCGTACATAATATGTTTTTAAATCAAAAAGAAAATGAAATAAAGATAAGTTAAATTATGACATGGATATACATATATGAGCCGCTTCATGACAAAACCAACATAATGGGTTTGCGACCAGCATGGATCCAGACAAGCCTGCGCATCCGCGCAGTCTGATCAGGATCCATGCTGTTCGCTTACAAACCCTATAACAAGTAGAGAAACTGATAGCGAACAGCATGGATCCTGATCCTGGTTTTGTCATGACGCGGCTCATATGTGAAAAATATATTACATACAAATGTATTTATGCTTTTCGATTACATCCGTTATCTGTATATTACCTAAAACTTACTTAATATGTCGTAAACTCGTAGATAAGTAGGAGATAGCTGAACTTGCTGCTGTTGGAAACAAAATATTCTCACAAGAGATATTTAACTTAACAACTTGAAACTTTACATTTACTTTATCATTGCAATTTTATTTAATCCTTAAATTAAATGAGTAAATGTTTTAAAGAATAATTTAAACTTACTGTTTTCGAGATATTCCTGCTACACATACGTTCTTAAATCGAAACATGGAGATCCTTCTTTGAATAGAATCATTGTTGCGCTAACCAACCAACTGGTATCTATACTTTCTTTTATGTTAAAACGTTCGGTCAAAAATCAATGCATTATTCTTTAAAACAAAAAGATCTTTAAAATTTATGAAATGTGATAGCGTTCATCCATTACTGTTAATAACGGTCAATGAATGTATTTAAAGTTAAATACTTTTTAATGCTGACTTTAATGTTGTAATATTTGAATGTTTGATTTATGAATATTTTTGCTGGCTTGATAATACTGCAATGACGAATTGATAAACTGAGAAGGTATGCAATGTTTGTTGTTTTAAATGTCTTTATAATTGACGTACAGTGCATATACTAGTACACGCTTTATGTATTTCGCGTGGATGTTTTACGATTGAAAAGACACCAACTTTTATTGATTTTCATATATTCATTAATGCGATTAATGATTTGAAAAATTGAGTTTTTCTCCTTTCTTAAGATGCATTTTGCGGTCTTAGAAATAAAAAAATTAATGTTCGGGGTAAGAGAATAAAAACACATGGGTTTGTGGGTAACAGCTAATGCCTCGGGTAACAGTATTTTCCTCGGGATGTATTTTTACTGTTACCCACAAACCCATGTGTTCTTTAAATATACTTTATGCAATGTTGCACATTCTAGTCTAGTATTCAATCTGATCCATATACGTTTAATAAAGTTTATCTTGAGATATATCAGTTTTGTAACACATACTAGTAGAAGTCACACATTTAAATAACTATGTTTCCCTCCTGCGTTACATTTTTATCATCACTTGCGTCGTTATACAATTATAACACAAAACAAATATCTATTTTTACACTTAAAGATAAAGATAATAAATGTAAACAACATTAACAAGAACGTATCAATCATGATTTCTCATTACCTGAAAATATAACAAATTGCCTTGTTTTCATTCAGAGATTTTTTTCCATTTCCTATTGTTATTAAAGATAAGCTATTAGAATTAATTTTTAAAGGAAAATATTAAACGTGAACAAAGAGTGATGCTATTTTGATTTTTGCATGCATATTTAACTTGCATACTACTATTGTTTTACAGTAAAAAGTGCATATAACATAACAGGAAAAAATGGCAAATACTATTATAGTGTCTGTACCAACTGGAGTAGTTGATGCCCTTAAAAAGAAACGAGGAGGAATAAATCCTATTCTAGATGACATTAAAGAAAAACATCTCATTGACGCAAGTTTTGATGGAAGCAACATAGAGTTACGCGGGCCTTACGACGAAGTTCTTGATATAGCAAATGAACATTTACATAAGGAAGCCGGAATGGCACCTGCTTCAAATATATCATTAGGGGGCATGGGAACTGTAGAATGGAGATTTAAAAGAGCAAAACATATTCAACTCGTATTCGACGCAGAATTTGAAAAACTTTCAGGGAAATCGAATATCACAATAACACATGAAGGAGAAGATATTATTGTCAGTTGCAAGTACTCTGAATACAAATCAATGAAAATGCTTCTTGAAGATCTTGAAGAGAAAATTAAAAAATGTAAAAATAAATCAGTCAAAGTGGAGCCTAAATATGTTGCGCTTGCAAAATCCTTTTCTCAAACAATTGTTAAAAATAAATGGTGTTGTGAATTCAGTGATAAACAAGGTGCCAACCTGAAGTTTTATGGAAGGAAAGAGAAGGATTGTGAAGATGGAGTTACAAGTTGGAAAGATAACATAAAACAACAAAACCGTTGACCCCCTCAGCTCCACGTGCATCGATTATAGAAGAACCCATTGATACAGGAACGTCATATAGTTCAAAGAAAACCGAACAATCCCAACTAATGTCAACTTCTTCTAATCATGCTCCAAATACAATGGAATCAGACTGGAACAAAAGCAGTTTATCATCTCAAGGAGCCACTGATTTTAATACTTCTGCTATCAGCAAAACAACAATCAACAATCCAACAAATAAAACAAAAAGTGAAATTCAAAATATGTCAATGAGCCAATACAATTCTTTGCATGCAACTGCATCGGGTGGCATTAAAGGAGACATTAAATCTTCCTCAAATGTCAGAAAAACTCCAGGAAGAACAATCGGTTCTGGTGATGCTGCAAAATATAATTTTCAAATCGAAAATATTACATTCTTTATATACAAGCAATCTATAACAGAAATCAAAGGAATGGATGCCATTACTAATGCAGCAAATGAGAGACTTATGCACGGAGGAGGCGTAGCGTACTTTATATCAAAAGCAGCTGGTAAGAAAATGGACCAGGATTGTGACAGTTACATTACAAACAATAGGATGTTACAAGTAACGGAAAATTATGTTTCGATACCTGGTGACATTAAATGTAAAGGCATTATTCATGCGGTTGGTCCTACGTGGTACGGCTACAAGGATAAAGAAGATGAGTGTGCTCGGGATCTATACAAAACAATTAAGAATATCTTGAGAACTGCAAGCGACAAGAAGTACCAAACAGTAGCACTTTCAGCAATCAGTTCAGGTAAAAAAAAATAAGAATTATTAATTAAAGATTATTTTGTGAATGAATATTACACACAATTAGTCTTATCCATATGGAACATGTATAAATAGATAAATAGATCCACGCTGGAATGCTAGGAAGTTAATGTAACTAATGAAATGGCGCCATCATTTCCGTACAGTTTTATTTAATTTTATTTACATATCTTGTATCTGTTGAGTTTCACCGATTATTGGCAATACTGTTGATATCACTATCTCATGCTTTTAGTAAGAGCAGAATCTAATATTTTAGAGTTTCAGGTGTCGCTTACATTGTACCTATACAGACGTCTATCTGCATATATGTTTCGTTTAATTGAAATAAAACAGTAGGTTTCCTAAAAAGAATAAACATGCATGTGCATGTTATGTTATGCATAACCAATGTACACCTTGTTTGTAAAACCAATATAGCTATAACTAACCAAACAACATGTGAATAGATTTTTTTAAAAATCTGCAAGAGTAAGATCCCTCGAAAGCAATCAAAACATAAGTGACTATTGCAGACTCTGTTCATAAAAAGTAACGTAACACTAAAGGTATTAAAATCAATGATCCTGAATTAATAGGGTTAACATTTAAAAGTTGTGTGTCCGTCGCAAATTCTTAAGTCGGGTATGTTGTGTTTTTTAACAGGCTTGTTCGGTGTGCCAAAGAAACTTTGTGCAGAGATGTACATCAAAGCATTTGCTGATTTTGCAACTGAAACAAGTGGTGCAAATGTGAAGGAAGTACACTTTATTGATGTCAGCCGTGAAATCCTTGATATAGTAATCGATGCACACAAACTTTGGCTGGATGATGAAACTAAACTAGACTTCAGTAACGCTTTACAATATCTTTCGGCAGCGTCAAAAACTAGAACAAGAAAAGGTATTAATTGAGAGCTGATCTTGCACTCCTTCGGGCAAAATTTAACTTTAACAGTAACAAGTTTTTAATCGATTGGTACATTTCTTATTTTATTTTTATTCAAACAAATTCAGTAAAGTTAAAATAGACATTGGTACAAATGTAATTATGTTCGCCATTCAATGATATTTGATATAACCATAGAAAAATGTTGTTTTTGTGTTGATGTTATCTTACATATATCTAATACAAATCATTTGTCAAAAGCAATTTTTCTCACTTTCTCACAGGCGCCGTGCAACATGAGGAAGAGAGCTTAGTCCAAGCTATTGGAACCAGCAAAACATCATATGGCGAAACTATATACAAATATCGCCTTTGTAGTAAACTTGTAGTGTGTGTCTATCAAGGATCATTGACAAGGCTGGAGAATGTGGATGCTATAGGTTTAATGGTTTCACCAGATCCTTATTCTATGAGAGTTTTAGAACAGTCCGTACGAAATCTTGCTGGGTTTAAATATCAATCAGAAGTTGATAAAAACCGGTATGCATTGAGATATACAGATTAGTTCTTTCCAGATTGATATTGACATTGCAGCCCCGATTGAAGCCTCCAAGAAAAAAATATATGCATGTACTAAATATGAAACAAATGCTACTTACTTATGTGTGAAATTATGTCAGGATAATAAAAAGGCTACAAATTGATGAAAAAACAACGTTCCATTATATGAAGAATAAAAAGATGTGTTTAAAAAATATATCTTGGTAGCAGTAGCTCATGCCACTTGACGTCAGATACATTATGTAAACTTTACTATGAAAAGCAGTTAGCTTAAATCTTGTGAAAATTGTATGCAATATGAAAAACTAAAGAAATAACCTAAAGGCACATCAACCTTCCGAAAAGGGCATATTGGTGTTTTACATTATTTTAATGATAGATTTAGAACATGTTTGACGTTTTTCACCTGAGGAGAGTAGCGTTAAATGTGAAATAATGTCTCACACAAGTAGCGAAATGTATACAAAGTGGTAATTTGGCTTAATTTAAAACTAAAACATCCGAGTAACTGTACAAAAGAAACAAACAATTGCTCAGCTATGTGGTCAATACGTAACTTTTTTGGAACACAACACCAAAAACAAAACAGTTTTGAGAGTTAAATCATTGCAAGGGCTTGATTAGCATATATACTGTAATAATGCCAAACCCCTTCACTGTTATCGAAATAATTCAAAGCTCTTTTATTTACTTTCAGGAATGGAAAGAATGGGATGGTTTTCGTTAGTACGTTGACTGGCTCATTGAAATGTAAGAGTATTGTTCACGTCATATCACATCCAGTGACGAGAGTTGATGACAAATCTTTGTCTGCATATGGTCATGCACTTACGCATAAGTACAGCAGTAAAATCCATTCTCTTGGTATGCCGCTTTTCGGGACAGGTAAATCTATACATATATTTCATAGCATGGTTCAGATTTATTAACATTTCTCAGAACAGTCAGAAACACTGATGAAGAATGATATAAAGGGGAGATTTCTTTTGTTTTTATGTTTTTTTAATGTTTTGTTAATGTACGTTTACTTACATAAACAAGTACATTTGTACATTGAAATAACGATATTTTTTCGAACATTTTTTTTTGCTAAAGGATATTTTTAGTTATTATGATGAATTTATTTTGGATTTGTCATTAACACATTCTTCAAAAGATGTGGTGCTGTTGCCATGCATATATCTTATTTTAGATATATAGTATGTTCTTATTTTTTACTTTTTTACACAGGGGCAATACAAAAAGAAGCAGAAATTGATATTCTTTGCTACAATGTCATACAAGAGCTACTCACAGCATGCACCGATAACAGAAAACCGTTACAAATTACTGAACTCCATCTTGTGAACTTGTATCCAGAGATAAGTTTACATCTGAAAGAAGTATTTGCAAGATTCAGTAATGGAGTCAAAGTATATAAAAAAGATACTTTATCCGATACTTTGCAAAACGATACTTTGCAAAAAACGAGCGGAAACTCGAAAGAATCTAATGAGAGTCAGTCTTGGCTTCAACATACACGCCTCGAAAAAAGCGACTCTGCTAAAGGTGAAACTGTGACCGATAATGACACCAAAAAGAAAACTTTAACTTTAGACAAAACGCCGTCCAATAAGAAATGTGATTACTGTGATAAACCAGCGAGTAAAATGGTTAAAGAATGTGGTCACATGTTCTGTGATACTTGTGCCATACCAATGAAAAATAGCAAGGTATGTGTAAAGTGTTCCAAGGAGAATTCACAAAAATCAGAGGAGTGTCCCGTATGCTTGGAGCCTCTTAAGACGGTCAAAGAATTACCTTGCAGCCATAAGCTCTGTTCATCATGCTACAAGGACGTTACAGCACGAAAGCCACAATGTCCAATATGTCAACATATATATGGTGAGGTAACAGGAAACCAACCAGATGGACAAATGTTTTTTCGACACGTTGCATGGAGAAGTCTTCCGGGATATGAAGGATGTGGACAGATTGAAATATGCTATAGCATACCTTCGGGAAAACAGACGGTTAGTGTTCATAAAGTGTAGTGAAAAAGCCACTTTTTCAATCTCAGCATCTTAATATTTCGAGCCGTGGGATAATAATTCATATGGCGAATTTCATGATCTCTCAAAAACAATTTCGGTCAATTTACATTTTATTTGTTTTTCTGAATTGTGTTCAAGAAAACCTTTATCATTACTGAATCGTCTTCTATAAAATATTTTCACAGAACATGATCACTGTATTACAGAAGTATAAGTCAAATCGACAAACAAGCTCTAGGCCCAATGCAAGTGGCAGACCAAGGTGCTCTTTCATTGATCCTATGCATTTGATTTGAACTTTGTGTTTGCGGTCTCAAATCGTCCATTGCATTATATTTGTGTACCTGTATTGAATTATATGAAAAATAAGATTGGGTTTATTCATGCTTTATAACTTTTAGATGAATGCTCAAAATATTGACAAGGGTAACTTGATTATAGCATTTATATTACATAAAGGTTCACTGATCAAAGTCAAAAATGTACACATTGGAGGATAATCCTATTTATAACCTATTCATTTTAGAAATATCACCCACGTCCTGGTAAGCCTTATAAAGGTATAGAAAGGTTTGCTTATCTGCCTGACAACGACGAAGGCCGACATATTCTTAGTCTGCTAAGAAGAGCATTTGACCGGAGACTGATATTTACAATTGGTGAGTCAAGAACTACAGGGAAAGAAGGCGTAGTGACGTGGAATGATATACATCATAAAACAAGGCCCACAGGTGGACCTGAAAGGTAAAGCAATTGTTCATTGTTAATTTGCTCTTTGCAACACGCCAAAAATCTCTTTGGTACTTTCATAACTCTGCTATTACAACTCTTGAAAAGAAGTTAACAAGAGTGTCATGAATTATTTTAGCAAGTTCGAATTCTTGACGATTTTGCTCATTTTCTATAAGTATTTGTTTAAAATAAATACGGTCGCTTAATCACATGCACCAAACAATCCATATATACCGATGCATTACAGATGTTTTTATAAAAATAGTTGACATTTTTGTACTTGGCAGATAATCATACATTCATTTGATACGTTTTAATGGTTTGTTTATATGTATTGTAGATTTGGTTACCCTGACCCCACATATCTTATCAGAGTTAAGGAGGAACTTGCCGCTAAAGGAGTGACTGACTGACAATTGGTCTAGAGATTAATTAAAAAAATCCAGAACTTTGCAACTTATTGCTTGATAAAATATTGTTTATCAAAATCATTAAACGTTATAGATGTGCTGTGAATTTAACATATATGTAAAATGTGATATGTTTATAAATATCAACCTATTCGTGGATATATCATTTTGTCTCTCATGAATATCTTAAGACTGATGCAAGTAAGTAGGCTTTTGTTACTGCATAATCAAATACTGTATGTGTAGAAATATTCGCGGGCTTCAAATTTTCGCGATCTTTGCGGTGACATTCGATCCGCGAATTCATGTTTAGCGCGAATATTTCTACACCAATAATTTCTTAATAGTCATATTTTCGCGCTTCTATAGAATAATGTATATCAGTGTGTGATATGTTTTCACACTTGTTATTTAAATGTTTTCTGAGTAATTATGTTTGTTTTCCAAGTTATTCATCATTTAAATCGTTTATGTTTGTGTTTTTTTGTATCCTTTGTTCAGAAAAACCAAAACATGATCTGATCAGTTGTCAAGACATTTATGACGCAAACTGTAAAAAATTATGCACGTTAACGGGCATTCTTTTTTTTTTGCTATAATCTGTCCGCTAGACAATGTTATTCTGTACAATAGCGTATTGTTTGTCACCTGGTATTGAAAATAACTGTGAACTCCCGCGATGATTACAGTAATTTTCCTTATATTTTTTACCTGCGTGGTCAACGCGAATTTATGATTTTCGGCAGTCACCTCCGTGAATTCAAAATAGCGCGAATATTTGTGTAGACCCTTAAAGTGGTCCTTTCCGCGAAAATTTGCTTCCGCGAATTTAAATACACATACAGTAGTTACAAATTACTTATGGTATACTTGTACATGATTGTTTTTCGTTGTTTCAAGTGAAGGACACAGAGTTGCTATGCAGAAATATTTTTTCTTTCAGACTCTGTATGAAAATTGTTAATACATGTATTTATAACACCAGGTTATTTTCATCTCGTACAAATATTTATAGAGCGTATGCTAATGCGATATGGTTATCCAAACTGTGACTGCAAACGCTGCTTTAACAAATTTGTAATACTAGTAGCCTTTAAAACTGGGTTTTGAAATTCTTGGATGACACGATTTAAGAACGCGTTTATACATCCTTAATGTATAACATGTATATGTGTGGTAAAACACAAAAGTACATGTAAATAAAACACTGAGAGAACATGTTTTGACGTGTACAATGATGGAGAAACTATACTGAAAGAGTCTACAAACTATCTGAATAAGATTTATCAAGCTGTGTTCGAGTGCAAATACATCAAATATGGATAACGTTATTATTAAAGAGAGGTGTTAAAACTCTTTAACTTCGGTGCACATTCTACCTATATATTATTTCTCCCAATTATATTGAAGAAAGCACAAGAAAGACAGTAAGTTTCATTATTGTAAAACGCTTTCAATCTACACAAATCATCGCGTACTTGTACAGACATTCATGGAAATTGAAGTCCTGTTTCATCTAATGTACATCGGATATACTCGTATATGGTCCTTCAGTGGTTCACATGTAGCAAATTATATTGAACGATCAAATTGTACCAATCAGGTGCAGTTATTGGATGTAGATAATAGGTTTGTTAACATAGTTTGCCATTTCCGAAATTTCACAGCATGTGCATTTTATATTTATATCTGAAAAGCATTCTTTTTAATGAATTATTTTTAATAAATTATGCAAAGAAAAGGCTCATCTTCTTTTTATTGCGTTTCATGTTGGCAGTACCAATACCGATACAGCTTGATTTAGTTAAGCTTTCCATTTTTCTTTATACTTTTCCGGTTTAAGATATACATATATCATATATATTGTTCAATCCCGCTAAGGTTATTTTATTTTAACAGTACGTGTAAATATATCCGAATAAAAATATGGTCATTTTCAAAAGTGCATCAAAAAAATAAATCAGTTTTCTTTAGTCGGACAAACATCAGAGATTTCAGTTCCCGAATTTTTTAGTTTTATAATGTAAAGTAGGATGTTAAAAGGTTACTTTACATTGTTGAGTGCAATACCAAAAACATATTTTGGACGAATTCACAACTGTTAAATCTGTACTGGACGAGACACTAGCCTAGTCTGATATAAGCTATAAGTTTGTTTAATTGGGTTTTACGTCACACTGATGCAGTATAGGTCATATCGCGACGTTCCAGCTTTATTGTTTGTGGAAGACCTCATGTGCCCTTCCGTGCATTATTTCAGGCACGAACGGGCACCTGAGTAGAACCACCGACGTTCCGTAAGCTAGCTGGATAGCTTCCTCACATGAATGAATCTTAAGTCCATGTCGGGATTCGAACCCACAGCGATGAGGGGCAATTGTTTTTACATCAGATATATAGCTTTATACACTTTAATCCTTATAAATTTGTAGTGAGTCTTTGTTAGTCACTATAGAAAGAGATATCCAAATGAACATCCATAACGACAAATTAATAATCAGATATTTACTGAAGTTTCTTACCAACAACATCTTGAAGTTTTTATCTCGAATAACTGCACATGACACTAACATATAAAATAAATAACCAATAAAGCATGGAATAGGGTAACTATTGTTAGAAAACTTAAATTCCGCCTAGATAGAAAATTACTAGAGACAATTTACACTTCTAACATACGTCCATTTCTTGTGAAATGGGGAAATGATACAAGTTGTGAATTAAACGAACTAAACAAAATCCAAAACAAGAGTGCTCGTATTGCTTCCAGATGTACACGACTTGTTTAACTCGAACATCTTTCAAATAAAATAAACTGGGAATCTCTAAAGAAGAAATTAAAGTACATGAAGTAATTTAACAGTTCATGACATCTAACAGTCTCTTATAAATTACAACGACAAGTTAAATAAACACTTAACATTGTTTTGAGTAAGTTGGCACGTTACTATTACCCTGTAATAAGATATTGTTTGCACCTGAAAGGTTTTGAAAAGGATCATAAATTTTAGACAATACCAATTCAGATTTTCTTATGAAGCGTTGGTATATTTAAACTATTCAAAATAATCAATGTAAAATTGTTAAATGTATATGTTATTTAAAAGATTTGTGTGAATCAAATGAGCACAGTGACTTGTGAAAGATTCAAGGTAAAACTTAAATATATTAATAGCATTTTGTGATACTTAAGATTACAACTGTATTGTATCTATTTAAAAGTATATATTTTATTTGAGTCGTTTTGATCATGATATGAATAAAAATTTGCATACAGACTTGACATCATCTCCTGCTGTTTAAGGAACTCCACTGAGGTTCGACTGGAAATATTTTTCCGATGTTTACGTACCATTTTATGTACATCTAGACCAATAACTTTTGAGTCATTCTCTCATCACGTTTTTCAAGAAAATATCTTTAAAAAAAAATTTAAATGACCCAAAAATGAAAAGCGTTGCAGCGCTTTTCTCTCAACTCCGACTAAGAATTGCATTCTATTTAATTCTTAGTATTTTTCTTTATTATTGTTTGCAGATATTTCTATTTTAAGTGCTTTACTTGATTTTATTTAAGATTTACAAATTTAAAGGCTTTTGGACGTTAATGGAGTTCTTTTAAACAAAAAGAATCAGATATCAACCAATCAATGGATATGGCAATCGATGAGACATAAATTCATATAAAAACTGAATAATTTTTTAATTGTTAAACATTTGAGTCGGTGACCCCCTATTTTTTTTAGTTATTTTGACTAATTATACATTTTAAAGGACGTTTAAAGAAAAAAAAATCAAAAATTTATTTCAGGAATTTTTAAATAAGCCGATGTAAAGCCGAAAATTGAGGCTAAACTGAACGTCAAATTTTACACAAAATTGACGATTTTCTTTCCATTACTCAAAGAATTTTCGGCGTAAAACAATAAATTTTATATCTGCTTCAAGGAAAAAATATTTTCCGTCGAATGCCTTAGGATTTAAGATATTTTGTTCGCCAATGGCGTTGAAATACCTGTAACAGTTGCCAAGGATACACAACGACGTCCTTTTTAAAAACGGGCTTTGATGGTTAACTTTGACGTCATGTGTACAAAAACTGGCTGAAACTATTGAAATTAAATCAACGAAATCCAATCAGAAATATGGTCAATTTTTTGCATGCCAATTTTCAAGACGCTACTCGAAATATGGCAAAGTGTCACGTTCTACCTTAAAGCATTTTCTGATGTTAAAGTTCGACTAATACCAAATTAGAATTGTTTAAAGATTTTTTATTCATACTGACATGCGAGAAGTTCCCGTACAAAAGCAGCATGCCAGTATGGTGAAAGCACATCTTTTTCACGTTATGCCATAGAAACAATTTTTTTTACTTCTGTGGAAAGGGAAGACATGAATTTTATAATAATTAAATTATGGTTTGAGGGAATGTTAGATGTCTCGATAAATGTGAAATAATTTGTCATAAAAGTAGCAAAATGTAATTAAAGTAGTAAAGTAGCGACGGGCCTCAATTTTTCGCTCATATTTTACAGCTACGCATGCACACGGCAGATTTGAAATACAGTTGTTTATGTGAAAACTTATCTTCTTTATTTTATTATGTTGCTGTCTCTGATTGTTTTGCAGCAGTCCTAACACAGCAGAGAACTTACGAAATCATTCGACCAATGTAGAAGGAAAATATAATATAATATATTTATATTTCGGAATGACTTCTAATTTCATTGATTTTGCTTTTAAGATCAGATGTTGTGTAACTGTTAATTTATCAGATTTTGTACCAGTTATTTTAACGTTTCATTTCATTTATTAAACTGCAACAAATTTATTTTTAGGGAAAGTACATTAGTAGAAATTTACATAATGTAGAAGTTGTTGTAAGTAATTTACTTAAATCGTTAAGTCAAACTTTCCAAGGGTTGCGACGAGATGGCGACAAATTATAACCTGGGGGAATCTTATATCGTTGGATCTGAAGAAGATTTTGTGGCTTTTTGTCATGCGTGTAACAACAGCAACATACGAAAAAAGGCAGTAGTTTTCTGTACATGTTGTAAGGAGTGTTTCTGTCAAGAATGTCGTTTGTTTCACCAAAGACTCACTTTAACCAAACATCATACGTTCCTAGAACTTTCATGCAAGACTTGCGCCAATGCTAACAAATGTTCAGACGGCGATGTGTACTGTAGCGGGTGTGATGAATTTTTATGTCTTAGATGCAATGTTTTTCATGGTCGTCTGACAGCTACGATGTCACACGTAGTATGGTCCATGGACGAATTCATAATTAAGCGAACAAAAGATTTAGGTGAGTTTTTGTTTGTTAGTTTGTTTTTTGGTTTTTTTTTTTTTAAACCAAAAAAAACCAACAACAACAACACGTGCATTGCATATTTAACTCAAACTGTGTGCTGAGCCTTAAAAAAATATTATCTTTCAGTACTTATATTAAAGTTAATCGGTTTTTTCTAATTTATATGAACTCCCTGAAGTCACGCCACATTTTTGTTACCATGCTTCATACAAGAGAAATCTTGATTTAATTTATTTATATCTTCAATCTTAAATAAAATGTGTCGAGATAACGTGACCTTTATTTACTGAACACGCGCATTTTTGCCCGATTCAGGTATGTTTTTATCAATATCTTTACTATTATTCAACCAACTTCGACGAGTATCCGTAAATGAACTGGCTACCACTGTTCTATCAATGTTGGGAAAAACCAAAAATCAATGATTTCTTTCTGAGACAAAATTGAGTGCACTGATTTCTTTCGTAGCCGGGACATACTCGAAAAAAACAAGCGATTTCTACCGTGTTCACTGTTTGATAGAAATATATTTAATAAATACTAGAGCTATCACTAAATGCGATTTATACCTCCATCTGCCACCTTAACTGTTGAAAAAGTAAGTGGTCTGAAGCCAAATAAAAATTTGGCTTGTTAAAAGAGTAAAATCATATGTTTACCATTTATCTTTGTAAAAAAGAAACCAAAAGTGAGAAAACTTTGTAAAAATATAACCATATTTCCAAATAAATTTGAACTAAACCTCAGTATGTATTTTATATATTAAACAGTGAAAGAAAATCGCTTGTTTTTTCCGAGAGAATGCAGCTTCCCTCGGTCGCAGCCACGAAAAAAATAACTGTACTCGAATGCTCTTCGAAACCATTCAGTGGTGTACTTAATTTTAATATAACGTGGGTAGCTTGTACAATAACGGTTACTCTGCACTTCATCTAGTCAAAATTGGATTTGGATATAAAAAAGACCTGTTTCTTGCAAAGGAAACGCGTGTTTGGTATGATAAAGGTCACGTGATATTGCCACATTGAAATAATGTAAATTATATGCATAATTTAAACAGGTTTTTCCAAAGGAAAAATCTAGTTTTAAGATTGGGGAATGCGGGCTGGTAAACAGTTTCTTCTATATGCAACTCCTCCTACATTTCTCGACGGAATTTGACCAAATCATGGGCGATGAAAACCCGGTGTACGCATTGCGTCGTTTCTTGCTTCAGATCATGTCATTTTCTGTAATCATATACTGTAAAAACTTACAGTCAAGTCATTTGTTGAAATAAGTACATGTATATTCATACACTTGCTAGGAGCCATGCCAAATGAACAAAAATGTCAAGTTGAAGCTATCGGAACCAGCAAAACTTCATATGGTGAAACAATATACAAGTACCGTCTCTGTAAGAAACTTCTAGTATGTGTCTATCAGGGAACATTGACACAGCTTGATACAGTGGATGCAATAGCTATGATGGTTTCACCAGATCCTCAATCTATGGGAGTTTTTGAATGTTCCGTTAGAGAGATTGCTGGACCAAGATACCGATCAGAGGTAGATAAAAACAGGTATGTTTGAATACCATTCTGGGGCTTTCGAAGACGAAAAGAAAGTCTTTACACAAACACCGGAAGTATTCATATGATACTAAATATTGGAAAAAATAGATATTTTAGCTTTTTAAGATAAAGGCCAAATAAATAGTAAAATGTGTTAAATTATTCTTAAATGTTTTAACATTTTATTTTGTCACCGATAAAATGTACGATGGACATGTGCTATGCTGACACATTAGACCCATTATGCCCCATATACGTTTTATTTTTATTTCTCAAAAGCTTTTTATTTTGGTGCCCTGTTATATAATTCTTGTTGCCTAATTTCCTAAAACCATATCTTGCTTCTGTTGCTTTTAGGCATAATGTGTTATAAAAGTTCGAAATTTTTTAAAAAATATAAAATTTGATCATCATTTGGTTTTTATTCGTTTAATTTTTGGCCTTTCTGGTAAAAATTGTTCATAATTTGGTACATGCCGTTAATCTTATTCAAGCTGTATAACTTAGATGAAATAATATCAATATACTATTGAAATCAGCATTATTTTAACTTTAAAAATAATTTCAGGAATGGAAAGAATGGGATAGTTTTCGTTAGTAAGTCGACTGGCTCTTTGAAATGTAAAAGTATTGTTCACGTCGTATCACATCCAGTGACGAGAGTTGATGACAAATCTTTGTCTGTTTATGGTCATGCACTTACGCATAAGTACAGCAGTAAAATCCATTCTCTTGGTATGCCGCTTTTCGGGACAGGTAATCTAAACATATATTTCATAGCATGGTTCAGATTTATTAACGTTTCTCGGAACAGTCAGAAACACTTATGGAGAATGATATAAATGGGGAGATATTTTTTTTATTTTTAAACCCGTTAATGTTTTGTTAATGTACGTTTACTTACATGTACATGGTTTTTTATGAATATATAAAGTTAAACAAGTGCATTAAAATAACTATATTTTTTTCGAACATTTTTTTGTTGTTGCTAAAAGATATTTTTAGTAATTATGATGAATTTATTTTGGATTTGTCATTAACGTATTTTTCAAAAGATGTGTTGCTGTTGCCTTGCATATATCTTATTTTAGATATATAGTATGTTTTTATTTTTATCTTTTACACAGGGGCTTTACAAAAAGAAGCAGAAATTGATATTCTTTGCAACAATGTCATCCTAGAGCTACTCGCAGTATGCACCGATAACAGAAAACCGTTACAAATTATTGAACTCCATCTTGTGGACTTGTATCCAGAGATAAGTTTACATCTGAAAGAAGTATTTGCAAGATTCAGTAATGGAGTTAAAGAATCTAAAAAGTATCCGCCTTTATCCGATACTTTGCAAAAAACAGGCAGAAATGCAAACAGATCTAATAAGAGTCAGTCTTGGATTCAACATACACGCCTCGAAAAAAACGATCTTGCTAAAATTAAAACTGTGACCGATAATGACACCAAAAAGAAAACTTTAACTTTAAACGAAGCACCGCCCGATAAGAAATGTGATTACTGTGAGAAACCAGCCAGTCAAAAGGTTAAAGAATGTGGTCACATGTTCTGTAATACTTGTGCCATACCAATGAAAAAGGACAAGGTATGTGTAAAGTGTTCCAAGGAGAATTCACAAAAAGATGGTCAAAGAATTACCTTGCAGCCATAAGCTCTGTCCATCATGCTACAATGACGTTACAGCACGAAAGCCTCAATGTCCAATATGTCAACATATATATGGTGAGGTAACAGGAAACCAACCAGATGGTCAAATGTTTTTTCGATATGTTGCATGGAGAAGTCTTCCGGGCTATGAAGGATGTGGACGGATTGAAATATGCTATATCATACCTCCGGGAAAACAGACGGTTAGTGTTTTAGTTAGAATCATATTGACTTTTTCAATCTCGGCATCTTAATACTTTCTGTTGAGACACGATCTCCCAAAAACAATTCCGGTCAATTTACATTTTATTTGTTTTTCTGAATTGTGTACAAGAAACCTTTATCATTACTGAATTGCCTTCACACTATGCAGCCTTAGAAAATGACCATTGTGTTACGGAAGTATCGTAGTATAAGTCAGGTTGATAAACAAACTCTAGGCCCAATGCAAGAAGCATAGCAAGGTGCTCTTTCATTTTTCCTATTCATTTGATTTGAACTTGGAGTTTGCGGTCTCTAATCGTCCATTGATTTATATTGATGTATATCTTTATTAAATAACATAAGAAAAGTTTGATTGGATTTAATCATGCTATATAACTTAAAAGGTGAATGCTCAAAACATTAACGAGGGTATCTTGTTTATAGCATTTATATGGCATAAAGGTGAATTGAAAATGCCTGTTTCTTACACCTCCAGTTCATTGGTCGAGGGATCAAAGTCCAAAAATGTACACATTTGTGAACAATCCTCTATTATAGAAATATCATCCACATCCTGATAAGCCTTACAAGGGTGCAGAAAGGTTTGCTTATCTACCTGACAACGACGAAGGCCGACATATTCTTAGTTTGTTAAAAAGAGCGTTTGACCGGAGACTGATATTTACAATTGGTGAGTCAAGAACTACAGGGAAAGAAGGCGTAGTGACGTGGAATGATATACATCATAAAACAAGGCCCATCGGTGGACCTGAAAAGTAAAACAATTGTTTATTGTTAATTTGCTCTTTGCAACACGCAAAAGTCTCTTTGGTACATTTATAACACTGCTATTACAACTCTTGAAAAGAAGTTAACAAGAGTGTCATGAATTATTGTAGCAGGTTCGAATATTGATGATTTTGCTCATTTTCTATAAGCATTTGTTTAAAATAAATACGGTCGCTTAATCACATGCACCAAACAATCCATATAATACCGATGCATTACAGATGTTTTTATATAAATAGTTGACATTTTTGTACTTGGCAGATAATCATACATTCATTTGATACGTTTTAATGGTTTGTTTTATATATTGTAGATTTGGTTACCCTGACCCCACATATCTTATCAGAGTTAAGGAGGAACTTGCCGCTAAAGGAGTGACTGACTGACAATTGGTCTAGAGATTAATTTAAAAAATCCAGAACTTTACAACTTATTGCTTGATAAAATATTGTTTATCAAAATCACTAAACGTTATAATAGATGTGCTGTGAATTTAACATATATGTAAAATGTGAAATGTTTATAAATATCAACCTATTCGTGGATATATCATTTTGTCTCTCACGAATATCTTAAAACTGGTGCAAATAACTGCATAATCAAATACTTACAAATTACTTTTGGTATACTTGTACATGCGTTTTTTTTTGTTTCAAGTAAAGGACACAAAGTTGCTTTGCAAAAATATTTTTTCTTTCAGACTCTATATGAAAATTGTTAATAGTAATACATCATGTTATTTTCATCTCGTACAAATATTTAGAAAGCATATGCTTGTGCGATGTTGTTATCCAAACTATGGCTGCAAACGCTGCTTTATCAAATTTGTTACATCCTTCATAACTAACACGAACATGTGCTGTAAAACACATAAGTACATAAAACACTGTGATAGAACATGTTTGACGTGTACAAAGATGTAGACACTCACTGTACTGAAAAAGTCGGCAAACTATTTCAATAAGATTTCCTAAGCAGTGTTCGAGTGCAAATACAGCAAACACTAAACAGTTTTTAATAAAAACGTTGAACAAAGATGTTAAGTGTCTTGAACTGCTGTGTATCTTCTACCTATATATCATTTCTGCCAATTATATTGAAGAAAGAACAAGAAAGACCGTAAAATTCATTTTTAAAAAACGCTTTCAATCTACACAAATCATCACGAATTTTTGTCATTGTATGGACATTCGTGGAAATTGAAGTCCTGTTTCGTCTCTTTTTTCCCATCGAATGTGCATACAATATTTATATTTGAAAAAACATTGTTTTTTTATGATTTTTTCTAAATAAAATTATACAATGCAAAGAGTCGTCTTCTTTTTATTTTGTTACATGTAGGCAGGCAAAGATTGGTACCAACACCAATATAGTTTGATTTAGTTTTGCGTTCCATTTACTTTATACTATTTTGTTTCATGTTAATTAAAAATATTAAACTAAATTATTAAAAATATGGTAATTTTCAAGTGTATTGAAAAAAATGAAGCAGTCTGTTTTAGTCGGACAAAGATTAGATACTTCACTTCCCGATAGTTATAGTTTTATAATGTAAAGTACGTGGGATGTTATTAGGTTATTCCACATTGTTGAGTCCAATACACCGCCTCCGTGGTCGAGGGGTTAGAGTCGATGACTTCTAATCCAGTTACCTCTCTGGCGTGGGTTCGATCCCCGGGAGATGCTTTGGTAGTTTGGCGCGGAGGAAGGTAGTCTAGTACTGGTGTAACTCTCCAGGAACGATGGTTAGGAAACTACCCGCCTTTATGACTGAAATACTGTTGGAAAAAGGCGTAAAATGAAACAAACAAACAAACAAACAAACAAGGGTCCAATACTGAATTATAATTCACAGCTGTTAAATCTATACTGGACGTACGAAGCACTAGCCGAGTTGGATGTAAGCAACTATGTACTTGTTCAATAGAATCAGCATTGCTCTCAACAATGTCTAATGACCTCATAATTTCACATTTTTGACATTTTGACAAAATTTTATACTTCAAGTACAATAAGAAATTTTACCCTAATTAAAATGGAATTGAGGCTTTATGAATAAAATATGCATTTCATATAGTAATTTTGGAGTTAGAAGAAGGAAAACGAATATATATGGGGTACGTCATGCATTTAATATGCATATTTTGTACTTTGAAAATGAAACACGATGCCATATTTGGTGCGATATGCATTTGATATGGATGTTTTGGACTCCTCTGGAATGGAAATGAGCCGACATTGATAAGACTGGATCCAATAATGATATTTATTGGAACATGACGTCATCCAAACGCTGACTCATTGGTTATATTTATAAGGCGTGAAATCAAAATATTTCAGTTAAAAATTGTTTCACATGATAGTCCCTTTGTTTTTTAAATGGTGTATGAATATATATCCTGTTTATGAAAAATAAAATTTCGTTCAAAAAAATAAACATATCAGATTTACCAGAAGTGATATATAAGCATTGCCATTTAACTTTTTTGTTTGATAAATCTGAAAAAGTGAAGGGTATATTTTATGTTCAGTCTTTATATAATGCTATGCAAAGTGTAAACCACTTCAATTCAAGATAAAAGTTCTCTTAACATAATGACTTAATAAACAGGAGATACAAGAAAAGGATTATCTAACAGGTACCTTCTATATGGTTGCATATTTCTACCAATCACAATCTTCTGATGCAGTGTACGGAAACAATGTTTAAGACATATTCTGCTTTAACTTGATCATTAATAAAAATACCGATAATTGCCATGCGGTCTATTTTGATTTTAAAATAAACATGTTTTGAGACCATACAAAAAGATATGTAACGTTTACAGGTAAACATTGTATGAATATATTGAGTCATTAAAAAGAACTGGTGTAACGACGTTGGTAGAACGTCATATAATGAGCATTACAATATGCGAAAACAAAAGATGATGAATTCACATATTAAAAGGATAGTATCCAATAGATAAGGGCATAAACCACTCTTGATGGTGTGCGACAGGGTTTGTGTGCCTTAAAACGTTACAACATTTGGTGGCCTGTGTGGGGGATGTAGACAACTGCTAGACCGGAGATGCCCTACCCACAGATTTCCCAGGCCAAGTCTCGGGACGAGACTTCTCGGAGGGGAAAGTAATGTAAAGACGTTGGTAGAACGTCATATAATGAGCATTACAATATGCGAAAACAAAAGTTGATGAATTCACATAAAGGATAGTATCCAATATATAAGGACTTAAACCACTCTCGGTGGTGAGCTAGCTTTTCACCGACAGGGTTTGTGTGCCTTAAAACGTTACACTGGGAAATGCTTCAGGGAAGGACCAAATCAACTATATTAGTAATATGGAACACAACATTTCAAACATTATGCATTCTCCTCTTTAAATTAGACATGTACATTAAAAGTTACCTGCAATTCAAAAAAAAATTGTAATTAACTTTTTTGAACTATAGATGAGCATAGTACATGTATATCTCTAAAAATCTATAAATAAGGCATATATAAGGAATTTTAGTAAAGGGAGGGTCCTGGATCGAGTACTGAAAATATCTGAACGGGAAATATACGTTTTATTTCATGATTGTAATCACTCATCCAAGAATAATCCATCCTCATTTAAGTCAATCATGGAAAGGTGTAAGTTTATTCGGGAAACATAAAATTATTACTTGTTAATATCCAAAATACTTGTGCTTCAATATTTAAGCACAAATATTTAAAATTAAAAGTGACAGCAATCTGCTGAAAAAAATCTGTTTTTCAAAGCCACGTACACCATGCATGTTAAGTACATGTGTTATTTATCTTTCACTTTTTCATCAATTCATTTCCTTACAAAAACTGATGTATATGTTACCAAGATTCAAATAACTTTATTTGTGGCCTACAGCCCAAAATACATTTTGTAATACGGTTGCGTCATCTTAACAATATTTATGAATGTGAACAAAGACTAGTTGTTTATTTTATCCATTAAAACATAAATTATAGGCCTACATAAAACACAAGCTTCTTTTAATGTGGTTGTGTTATGTGTACTTATTTATTACAATAACTCAACACAACTCAACTCTTTTATTTCATAATTAAAGGCCACCGGCCCAAAATATATATCCAACAATAAAGCAGCATTTGTATCATATCAGGTTATGTCAACAGAATATATGGAGGATATTGAATGCTTTTATTGAACAAGATGAATAAAATCAAATTATGCGAGCCTCTGGCGAGCATAATATTGTTTTATACATCGAGTTCAATAAATTTAGTATTGAATCTATACACTACTATAATATTCTATTTATCACATATATAAAATACAATGGTAGGATACTACGTCATCGCGCACCTGCTAAATGCTCCCACTTGGACCATTTTTTCGTCGACTCGAAGGTAAAATACAATTTTATTATAAGAAAACGTAAGAGTATTAAAAATCATGCAGCGCACCAAAGAATGGCTATAGTACTTGAGATAATTGTAAACAAAGTTTATAGATGTATTGCCTGGTTTAGGCCTGAAAACGGGATAAAGTGTTTTTCTCTGAATGCTCCCACTCGGACTTCTCCCGAAACATATATGAAAATAAGGCTGAAAACCTTCTTAAAAGTTATTTTTAACGTAATCGGAACATAAACCGAGTCATGTATACCCATTATTCTTTATTAGTTTCAAATATTTCTATTCAAAGTCAGTCTTTTAAAGTTTTTTTTATGAAAATGGAAATGCTCCCACTCGTACTCGATTTCAAGATGATGCTCCCACTCGGACCCAAATTTATACATTTTTGAAAAGCCACCATTGATGTGTTAGCTTTTATGGATTATTCTTGACAATTTTAACACCATTTTGTCAAATAACTACTGTGTTTGGCAACATTAACTTTTTCATTCTTTTTACAGAGAAATCACTTCTTGATTCTGTAGAATGAACGTCTTTTTGCAGAAACAAGGTGCCATGGCAAAGTTTCCAACTGACAGCCAGTGACAGGATCACTTTACAAAAAGGTGCACTTGGCTTGTGTTGCATCCGAAGGGATAAATTCAAAAGTTATTGCCAACAACAAGCAAGGACTATAAAACTTTAAATCGGCAGTTTGGATCTCAAGAATAAAGTTTTGTTTAGATGTTAAAAAATTGTGGTGTTTTACAAAGAAGTCATTTATATCATTGTTTTAGTACCATACCGGGATTTAGATTCTGTTGGACTCGTGCACGTATTAGAGGCCAGCATTTATTCAATAAATTGCTGACTTTAATATCTTGTTGATAATTTAAAACCCAATGGTTTGCATGTTTGTTAAACTTGTGATTTAGGTTTTAAAACAGCTTAACTTAGGTACGTTTTATGAACATAAAGAAGTCAATATCTATTCGGTTGATT